GCGGCCACTGTGTATAGTAAAACTGACGTCTCCGAACGCTAATCTCTCTCTCTCTCTCTCTCTCTCTCCACACACACACACACACACACACACACACACACACACACACAGTGGCCTGGAAAGGATATATTTTGTTGTTTATGAAAGCCAAATCCTTTTTCCCACCTCAAAGAAGAATAATTGCTATTTTTGATTCAATGAATCCAATGATGCATGTCCACACAAAGGTCACGAGTATAGGCAATAACTGATAGCCAAAGACAGCAAGAACAAAAAGGTGCCCTAAAACTTGGATTACGATCGGGCTCTTGGACCTGCTTGCTTATCACAATAATCTCTGGTGAAGCATATGACAAGGTGCTTCAGGCCCTGAGCTCTGTGTGAAAATCAATCTTTTTGACTAACAGAGACAGACAAAAAAAACCCTGCAAGGAGTAAGACATTGTTATTGCAAAACCTGTGCCAAACAAATCATGGCTCACTCCCCTGACCCACAAAGATCTCTGTAATGTAACCCAACAATAAGGGATATAATTGTAATTAGTCGAGTTCGTCACATAGGTGGAAGTCACAAGTCTCAAGTCGTAAATTTCAAGTCTCAAGCAAGTCTCAAGTCACTGTTGAAAAAAAAAATCAAGCAAGTCATTACTTGGTCCAAGCAAGTTGTATTACAGTCAAGTCAAAAGATCGTGCTCAGTAAAACATGTAGGAGTTAGAATAAAATATTGTTCTCCACTGATCCTACTATAAAAGGTTGTCATTATCTCTCAAATTTACTGAACATTTCCATCTCTAAAAATGAAATGAAAACCAACCTATAAAATTAATATCGACACTTAAATTATGCAAAAGAATGCCTGGTTATCTTTTTCATACTTTCATCTTTATCCAAGTGGTACACTGTGGTGATAAATATTGAAATATGCTGATTGAGGGCATCAAAATAAAGAATGAGCAGATTTTTAAAACTATATACATTGTTTCTGGTGCCAATCTGTTCCCCAAATCTAACTCGTGTGTGTAAATTGGTGAAAGAAAGGCATTAACTTTGTGCACTCTGTGGTTTGTCACTTTTTGAAATTGAGTGAAGTTGGCATGCATTCGGTTACAGGGGAGTGCTGTTGCATCAAATGTGGCGGACCCCGGGGGCTGGGCGATATATCTTTATCGTAGCGAGGGACATATGCAGAATTGCCTGTTAGAGAGATTTTGTTCATAATCCAAGGTTGCATAATCCAAGGATACAGAGAATGTTAACAGCATTGACTATTTTTCAACGGGCTTCTGTTAAGCGTGTTGTGTGTCAAACAAAAGGGATGAGGGTGTGTTGTGGTCCAATGTGGCACTTTGGAGGATTGGCAATAGACATGGTTTAACCCCTTCAGGGACAGCGGTTACTACAGTGGACACCTTATCATGTGATCAAGTTACAGGTTGTCATTATTGGTGTGCATTTGTTGTTTGACCAATTTACAAGGATACAGAGAATGTTAACAGCATTGACTATTTTCTTTGTACAATTGTTGTCCTGTTTGGCAATAACTTGTGCACAATGTGACATACTTTACTACGCCCCAGTTCCTGGTATACAAAATTCACAAAAGGCCAATGTGCTACACCCCCCCTTCCCGGTTAGCATCAAACGTCAAACAGGAAGTACTCCTTTGTCACGCCCCCCCCCCCCAACAAGTAGACCAGAATTCCTTCCCAAAAATGACCTTCAAACAACAAAACAAACCAGTAAAGCTTGACATACGGGTTTGAGGAAACCAGTAAAAGATAGTGGGTGAGTGACCATTCAATCAACAGCCCACCATGCACTTCCAAGTGTGGGACATTTACAGCCCAGGGTGGCCCAGTGGCTGCTCCCATCCTGCTTTAGAAAAGGACGGAAGCAGGTTGGAAGTATAGGTTGGTCCCACACTGTGAGAGCACAGCTCAGTTTAGACAACAAACAAAAAAAAATGAACTTCCTATGACATAACAACCCTAACCTAAACAATACGTCTTCCACATGTACAACTCCCGCACAAGAGTATTCATCGCACACATTTGATCTATACAGTGTGTCCTTTTAACGTGTCATAGTTCAAAGTACGCGTTCTTGCACCATGAGAAAAAATCTTGATAAAATGAGAGGATTCAACCAAATGCTTGAGGATAGCAAGATAAGGGAGCTAAAAATAACCTTTCCTGAGTTGTCTGACTGCAAACACAAGGATGGTTGTTGTCAAGATTGCGTCTTAAAACGCGAGTGAGATGCAACAGACAAACAAGCGTTCCATCGAGACAAATTGCAAAGACTGGAGGCGACGCTTGTTTGGAATTGAGCTGACATCCTGTGTCTGCTGTGCACACTATCCTCTTACATAGAGATCCCGCAAAATGACTGCATCAAAGCCATAACTAAAGCGTTTATCCACATGCGCGACTTTTACGTCAGCAAAGCATGAAAATTCCAGAACTGATAAGACAATCTGGGGCGAAGAGCGTATGAAGCATATGACACTTGTCGTGTTTAAAGCAATTCTACCAGTCCACCAAGCGTTTTTATACGGCATATATCGAAGGGCGGCCAACTACATTCCCAGAGTGGCCAACGGGTGGCCACTGGTTTGGCTGCTATTCAAAACTGGAATCACCGGTGGGCTGTGAACATACCTTTTACCTGTTGTCAAAATGCACCGGTAGAGACAGTGAATGAGGCAATCGATGGACTCTCCCCTTTATTGACGAGACTTTCCTGTCTTTGTGACAATCTGTTTCTACCTTGACAATCGTGTCATGTTTTTGGGGTGCAGTGAAAGAATATAGTCGAGTTAGCGATGGGCGCCATATTGTTCATATCATATTGATATGAATATTGAACTTAATTAGAATGAAAATTAAAACTCTCAGGCAACCATGTGGACTTTTCGCACTTGCGCTGGTGTAGCTCAGGCCAAACAACCACGCAGCTCCTTTCATGTTTGGTACTGCTCGACAGCGAAAGCCAGCCGCACGCACACAAACGCTTCTGTTGTGGCATAAAATTGTTATCATTCACGCAGAGTTGCAGGACAATATTAATGACGTTTTTTGTTTGTTTGTTTTTTTATGAGCAAAGACTTAAGTACAGTATTGTGGCCCCTTAAAACTGATACAGGGTCACTCACCATTTTTCCATTGCAGCAAGCCAGTAGATGTATGGTGCTTAATCGCTTGGTCTACAGTGAATTGCCGGATGTATTTTGTTATGCAACTGACTAGTTCGTTCGGATGCCCTGTTGTGGAAAATGGCTTAATCATCTTTTACAGCTCTGATGTGGCAATTTTACGGGACTTCTGTGTATAGCAGGCTCCGTTTTTTTGGTTTAAAATGGTCAAAAACGGTTGTTGTTGTTGTTTTTCATTGCAACATCAATTCATTCCAATATCGTGCAGAGGCAGTTCTACTTAGTTAGGTTAAGTTCTATTTATAGAAGTCATGTTAAAGTGCATAAATCAGTAACACTGCATGCAATATTTATGAGCTCAGTGCAAATTCTTCTTCAGCTTACTTACATGGCTTACTGATGTTGATGTCAATGGTCAAACAGAAGCATGAATTACTGGTATCTTGTTCATTTTATTACAATTTCAGGAGTAAGATACATGCACAGTACAAAATTCTCTCTTTTAGCTTTGAGAAGCGGCAGCAGTTTATCTGCTGCAAGGTGCTGCGACGTGCAACTTCCGGTGTACTTTTTCGTTTTAATTGGGGCAGAACACTATGCACACTCCGCTGGGTTTGTTTTTCAGCGGAGCATGAACCGGCCTTGAGATTGTCGAGCCGAAGGATCAAGAGGGGAGGGGGGAGAGGGGAGGTCATTTTCCAGACCATTAATGACTAAATGAAGTGACCACAATGTGCCTAATAGGCACCCATTAACCTCTAAAGAATTAGATAAAATGTGAGTGCAGCCTGCATGTTGAACTTTGAGTTCGAAGTATACTAAGTCACAAACACAAACGCGCCTTACGTGCTCATCAATCGGATGTTGAACTAAGGACCATAACTGAGTTGAGTATTTGGTTATATAGGTGCTCTCACGGCAACAGGGGCCTCTACATATCATCACTGAAGCATAATCAGCAAATCGTTAGCCTAATAGAATAATAGCCATTGCCCTTTTTTACCAAGTATTTTTTATACAATTACTTGATTAATCGATCGGCAGAATATTCTGCTCTCAAAATAATCAATATCAGCAGCCCTAATTCAGTCCAAGATGATCATCACAAAATCTAACAGGCAACCTGCTCGTTCAAATCGTACAACCAATCAAAGCCACGGACAGCTGTCCGATAGAAGGAGGTCCCCTGTGACTAAGCGGCCTTCAAAGTCGTCAATTGTGTCAAGCGTATCTGCCCGCATGAAAAACAGAACAGAGAGGGCTCGGCAAAACTGACTTCGAATAAACCCAACATTCATCTGTGGTGTTCCCACACACTGGATTCAAGTGCAACTGAGGGGATGAGTCATGTGTGAGACACAGTATTAATAGGTGCAATGAGTCTCACTGTTCGTCAGCTTATCCTGTAATGAAATTGTTATTGGGAATAACAGGGAACAGCAATGGCCAGGTGAGGTTTAAAAAAAAAGAAGAAAAAAAAGGCACCTTAGAAGACTTAAAATGGAAAATGTCTAAAGTAGTTATTCCACACGGTGAAAACGGCACCAAAACAAGCCTACCTTAGAAATATCAGCTTATTGGAAACATTCACATACCCAGTATAGCGTAAAAGTACTGGCATCCTCAGACTCCTCCTGCTAAGTGTTTCGCTGTGACCAGCCTACGTGAATCACAGCAAACGCTCCATTCAGTGACCAGGTAACAGCCACAGCTGGTCAACGCCTGCTTCAAAACACGAGGAGAAAAATCCACCATCCTGAAACTCACAACGCATATCCAAGCATGCCCAACGCAATAAAATCTCTCTGGAGCAACCACTGTAGCATTCTAGGGAATGTTTCTTACCCTGTAAAGCCCAATTCTGCACAAGGCAAGGGAGAGCTGCATGTCCTCCGACATCGCGCTCGGCAACAGGCGTATCCCACGGCAACACACGGAAGCCAAGCCTCCCCGAGTGAGTAAATGGATGGAGGCGGCTCAGGAGTAGCTCAGCTAAACGGCATCGGGGAATCAACACGAGGGCCGCGTTTCGATGCCTCGCGGTGGGCTTTTCAAATGAGGCTTTAACGAACGGGCGGAAGAGAAGCTTGCCATATGTTTACTCGCTATGAAACAAAAAAAAAGAAAAGTGTCACAAGGATCAGTGAGAAACACCGTGACAGATCTTGCCGCGGAGATTAAGGGCGCAGCGACAACTCGAGATCCAGAATAAAACCGCAAATTGGATTAGTCACCATTACACGCCCACGCACTCCATACTGTCCATACTTTACGTCGTCGTTTGAAAACGCTGCTTTTGTATGTTGGTACACTTGCAGTGGAGAAGAGTCAAGTGAGTCAACGCGGTGCTGATTCAGCTCCGATGTCAAGTGACCGTCGCCACGATTGCCTCCCGAATGCACACGATCACCCCTGAGGAAAACACTTGGGAAACTGAACAAAAAGTCTGTTTCAATACGCCGTCAAGACAGTATATTGCGACCGAGACATCTTTCTGCATGGACCCAAACCTAATAAAAGATTAGTTTTACGACCGTGAGTCTTACTTGAACCTGTGCAGTGTCCCGGGAGCTTTTCTGGTCCTGACCGTAGTAAATACTTTAGTGATGCAATGATCCAGATCAGGGCCGATACTAGTAATAAATATTGTTGGACCACTTTAGAATTGTGTCCTTTTTTTATAGTTGGGACTTGGAATGGGGTCAATAACCAGGTTTCAAGATAAGATAAGATAAGAAAACCTTTATTAGTATAGTTGGCACTTGGAATGGGGTCAATAACCAGGTTTCAAGTGATACTATTGGATATCATTCATAAAATGAATGCACATTTAGTGAGTGTATTGAATGCATCTATCAACAATACGATTTGTTTTCACAATGCAGTAGTTTGGATTTTGACTTTTTAGATCTGCAAAATAAATTACATTCCGGTCAAGCTCTTTTTATTTTATTTTTTAATCCATTTCTGTCAGAAACATTTTTATAATTTATTTGATATTTTGATTGATATCTACATTTGTGCAAAAATATGAAGACTGCTTTGCGTAGTCTGTTGTATACTTTTTTTTTAAAATAGAATAACTGAAAATATATTGTGGTATATCGTTACCGTGGCCAATATCATGACAGAAGATTTATTTTCCGTATCGCCCAGCACTATCTATCACGAGCAGTTTTTAGTTTCTTTGGAGCCAAATTGAGACACAATAAAGAGCTTGAACTAGGAAGAAATGTTTATTTTTTTCCTCAAAAATGCAGCACTAGTAGTCCAAACACAGCTTTGTGATGAATACTGTGTCTGTAGAATATGAATTAAGCAGCCATATCCACCCGAATGCCCCCCCCCATCTCAGGGGGCAGCCAGTTTGCCACTTGCTGTCAACTGAAAATGACATCACAGTTGCTCAGGCAGCAGTCCACATCAGGTCCACACGACGTAACAACAAACACAAAGTGACAAAACAAACACAAAAACAACAAAAAAAGCAAGGCTCATGAGAGCACTTGCTGACGGCTGCCTACTCGGGCGCCATCTTGACTTCAAAGACTTCAAGTGATACTATTGGATATCATTCATAAAATGAATGCACATTTAGTGAGTGTATTGAATGCATCTATCAACAATACGATTTGTTTTCACAATGCAGTAGTTTGGATTTTGACTTTTTAGATCTGCAAAATAAATTACATTCCGGTCAAGCTCTTTTTATTTTATTTTTTAATCCATTTCTGTCAGAAACATTTTTATAATTTATTTAATATTTTGATTGATATCTACATTTGTGCAAAAATATGAAGACTGCTTTGCGTAGTCTGTTGTATACTTTTTTTTAATAGAATAACTGAAAATACATTGTGGTATATCGTTATCGTGGCCAATATCATGACAGAAGATTTTTTTTTTCCATATCGCCCAGCACTATCTATCACGAGCGGTTTTTAGTTTCTTTGGAGCCAAATTGAGACACAATAAAGAGCTTGAACTAGGAAGTCAAGAAATGTTTATTTTTTTCCTCAAATATGCAGCACTAGTAGTCCAAACACAGCATTGTGATGAATACTGTGTCTGTAGAATATGAATTAAGCAGCCATATCCACCCGAATCCCCCCGCCCCCCCCCATCTCAGGGGGCAGCCAGTTTGCCACTTGCTGTCAACTGAAAATGACATCACAGTTGCTCAGGCAGCCACCAATTGCAGCTCAGCTTAACGACCGTCACATGACCTAACTCAGAAAACAGATGTTGAACCTACGGTGTTCAAGCTTTGAGGTTATACTGAGGTTATCCCTCATTTTGTTGAGGAACGCATTCCTGCAGCTTTTGTGTAGAGCCTGGCATTTCCCTTTGAAATGAAAGACGCGGTCATGTGGCTCAAATAAATAAATAACCTCGGAAGAGCATTTAACTATCGTGTCATGTTTCCTTTGTCAATGTTCATAGTTAAACAGAGTCGTTATACATTTACTGCAGTGTGCCTCAAATGCTGGACGGATGGATGACTAAATGGCTTTTTTGGTTTAACCATCCTTGGACAAGTGGAACAAATACGGAATTCACAAGACGAAAGACAAGTCAAAGGAAATCAAGTATTCATCATGATTGTTTTTTGCCACTGTAAGATTAATTCTACTCATCCCAATCACAAACTTTGAAGCACTCTTTAGCTTTGACATTTTGCACTTCCAAAAACACTTTGGTGGCTCCTGTACACTACAGAAAATGCTGGTTGATTATTTTTTTAAAGAAACATAGAAGCATGTGGAGCAGATATACAATGTGCCACAATCTCTTTTTAAAGTCATAGCCTCAGGGCTGTGAATCGTCCTCCAACTAGAAGTGAGCACAAAAAATTGAAATGAATCGGCTGTGGTATGAGTCAATCATGCACACATTCCAGACAGTCAAACTTCACCCTGTCAAATGCTGTCTCCCTCTCACACGAGACAAGCGTCCAGTGCGCTGCCAGGTCGTGTCCGGCCACTTGGTAGACTTGTAATTTAGCAAGGCTGTATCATAGCAACAGCTAGCAGCAAATTCCTCTCTGAGCACTGCCGCGTTGTGTGGTCCCCTTTTAACACTTTGCCCACCGTGCACTATCAAAAATCTCCATATAACTATTTGGGATCTTTGAACCATGGCAGAAAAAAAAAATACAAACAATACAAAAAAAAAAAAAAGAGTGTTAAGTAACATAAAAAGGTGTGAATTGCTTTGTCGTCCTTGCAGTTATTTCCGGTGCGTAAAAGAATATACAGTGGATAGAGAGAAAGAGAAGCCAGCAGGTTCTCGAGCTCTCTCGACTCATGCTACCTACTTCTGTGTGAGTTAAAACAACACTCCCGCCCACCTCCTGGTTGTATCTGTGAATGGCTGAATGTATGCAAAAGCTTTTCACTCAAATGACACAGAACAAGGTGACATCTTTACTTTGAGTTTGATCATGTGACGTTCGCAAGCTGACCCGTGATTGGTCGTCACCTGAGTCCTGAGCAACTGTAAAGTTCAATTTTCAATTCTGGATCTCGGTTTTGAAATTGTCTATTTGTGAGTGTGATGGTAAGTTGGTTGTTCTTCTATTTGTTGTGCGACTGACTGGCGAGGATGTACCCCGCCTCTAGCCCAAAGTCACCTGTACTAGGCTCCAGCTCACCCGCAGCCAAAATGAGGACAAGCACAATAGAAAATGGATGGATTGACATCACAATCCATTTACTTCAACATCGGTTGGGTGTGCATCTTGTTATCAGCCATCTGACAACACTGAGGGGCCAACTTCCTCTGCATTTGCACTCCCTGAAGGATGACAACAACAGTGTCTGTGTTATTATTTTCCCCTGCTTCCTGTCTATTGTTGCACTGTTTCAACTCAGCAGCACTCTTCCCATCACAGGCACAAGGCTCATGCCCCACCACTCCCAACCCCACATTCAAACCACTCACCACTCAAGCCACAGCTACTTCGGCACTGAACAAAAAAACAATTGGTTTTGGTCACTGGCATTCACATCAAACAACCATGCGATTGATATGCTCTAATTGGAGTTAAAGCAGCCTAAGTAGCCTTTCTATTTTGTGACTTTGATTCAATTTTGTTTGTACATTTGTGTGATTTATTTTTTCTTAATTCTCAAAAGTGTATTTATAACAGTTGTTATAATATTGTATACGTGTTCGAAATTTAAAAGAAAAGCTAAATCGATTATCACAGTAATTACCTATTACTCTGCTAATTGATTAGTTGTCGATTAATTGTTGCACCACAGGCATTGTTATTTATCCTCAATGAAAAACTCAAAGCAGCAGATTGAACCGCTTGTGATTCTATTCTTCACTTGGGTTTGCATGATTGTATTCTTACTGCCCCTGGTGGCCAAGGCAGGCAGGTCAGAAGGCCAGCACGAATTACTGTACATCAATGATAAGCAAACGGTTTCATTCTTTGTATCCTCTTTAATGCAATTGACCAAATCATTTATTTAACCGGAAAATTAAAAATAAGAACAAAGTATTTTTTTTCAGGGCCAATCAAAACATTACGTTATAAGTCGTTGCTTTTTAAAAAGTACAAGATTACAGAGTGCTATTTTCCTTGATTAAAAAAAAAACATGTTCCTTTACGTTGGGGAGGTTGGAACGTATTATTGACATTTCCCAAACATTTCTGCTTGAGGTGTGAGTTACTGGCGTCTCGGAACGAATCAAGCACGTATCTCAAGGCACAGCTGTAACTTGAACACAGAGTACGGAACGAATCAAGTACGTATCTCAAGGCACAGCTGTAACTTGAACACAGAGTACAGCTGTTGGTTCAAGAGTTCGGTGGAGAGTGTAAACCTAAAAATTCGTCTAAAAACATACTTCAGTGAATATACCTGGGAACACATTTAAACGACGCGGAACAAGATTGTCTGGATCAGTAAGCTCATTAGCATCAGGATCCCCCCCGTAATTCCAGCATACCTGGGCGACCCATTGTTACGAACAACAGCAACGTCTAAAGGCGTCATCATAGTGGAAGGCAGAAAAGCAGCAACGCCACTCCATTTTGGCATATTTACTCACCAAATAATCCATGTGCAACCACTGTGGAGTCCCAGCAACACGAGCAGACTTTGACGAAAATGTCCAAAATGTTAGAAGAGGAGCGTCCTGGCAACACGTCGCTTTGTATTCCCCGCCTTCCGACAAGCCACAGCGGTGTGTAAAAAGAGCCTTCAGTGGGCTAGCACTCGCGGCTTTTCTTCTTCACCGTCCCCGCCGCTTGCTGAAAGCACACCGAAACGAGGCAGCGACGTCCCGGGTCGACGCGAGCGAGGGGAAGCTGGTCGGTTCGAAGGCGTTTTCCTGCCTGGAGCACACACTCGGGCTCGCGGTTTTTTGTCACACACACTCAAGAGCAAGCACAACAGTTGCTTTGGTTGGTTGCTTGCTTGGTTGGCTGGTTTGTTTAGTTGAGGAAATCGACGAAGCCTCCGCGGTGACGTCACGCAGGACGGCGTATGCGCGTAGCGTGCTCACGTGACCAAACACATGGAGACTGTGTTGATTCGGAAACGAAATGCGCCCAGGGGAGGTATCAAGAAAAAGTAATCCAATCGGGGAGCTGTTATCGCTTTTAGTTTCCCGTTTATTTCAAATGTTTAATTCCACTGACTTATGAATTCAAATATGAAATTCATGTAAAGTATTGTAACTTATCCAAAGCATGTACTAAATAGAAATATCATGCGATTAAAAATAGAAAATATAATCAATTGGATAATCATAATAATTAATTAATTCATGACTTTATTTATTCACAGCCCTTTCTCGATCATATTTAATTGAGAAATGTAATGATGTATTGTATATAAATCGACTAATAATACAAACATGAAGACCAAACGTATTGTGGAATACTGTATAACTATTCTTAATAATAATAAAAATAAAAATATCTTTAAATACTCAAGGTCAGCAGAGCTGAACAACTACAATACAAAACACAATAATGAACTGAAGCACATCAAGGTATCTGATCTGCTGTGAACTTTGAGGTACTGTAATACATTACGCAAACACATACAAGAAGGAAGATGACACGGAAAGTACTTTGAGAGATAGTGCAAAGTCCATGTTTGGTTCCTTGTTAATATGTATGCCCAGAAAAAAAATTAACCCACAAATGCTGAGCATGTACAATGTTAATAATTTGTTCAAGCATAGTAACATTTTACTACCCTTGCATCAGAGAGAAATATTTACTTACTAAATTCATGTGTCTGCTGGACAAAAAGACCTCTCAAGAGTGAAATTAGCTTGACAAAAGGAGCACAAAACAGCGAATGAGAATAAACACAGAAATGACACGAGGCTTTCATTATATAAGCAGTTTAAAAAAATAAAAAGCGAAAAAAACAATTGTACTTGTGTGATGTAAGCTCTATTACTGAATACAGTTCTTCCATTCCCCTTGAGGAAAAAATCTTGGTCAATATTTTATGTGCGGAAGGATGAGGGCAATATCCATGAATAGCTCATGGAGAAGTGAACAGGGTGTCCTCAGTCCACTTCTTTCTGGTGTGAATGACAAGGAATTTACTTGACTTTACTGCTAAATAAAACACGGAAATACGTCACTGCAAGAAAAGTATAATAATGTTCACAAAAAAAAAAGTGAACATTTTTATTTTAAAATCTACACGTCAGTACATATGCAACAGATTATCTGGTCTCCTGCTGTTTATTGAGTTTCCACTCATCTTTCTAGTGAAAAGTATATTCACCTGTATTGTGTAATTGGGCAATTATGTTACAAATTTTAAATAATAGGGTTTAATAAAATATATTTTGAGGCATGTAACTAAAACAAGAAGCAAAAAAGCTACACTGGCTAACATAGTGTATTTAATAAATACATTATAGTATCTGGTAGCAGCAATAAGTAGTAAGTATTCATAAAATGTGGTAGTAAGCAGCATTAGTAAGCATTAGCAGTACAGTAGATACCTGGACATACTATTAAGAACATGTACTTTTGTATCTACATGGAACTTGCTTTACAAGAATATAAACAGTATGCAGTAGTAGTAAACAATACAAAGTCGTACTACCGGTATTAGTATTGCAAGTAAGTAGTATTAGCAGTCCTGTGTTTTATCCGTCATCGTTTAACTACAAATCGCAAAATTACAGAAAACCACAAGATGGCAGTGTCTATCTGAGCTAAAACATACTTGAGCCCTTCCTTGCAACGCCTTTGTGAAAGGGCCTATTAATATTACATACCTTCTCAACATAATTGATGTACTCTACTTTTGAGCGGGAAAAAAAATCTTGCGCTCTGAGTCTTGCATATGGTCGCAAAACCAAACTTCAGCTAAATTCTAAGAACATTACAATACCCGAACTGCCAAGGCATTCAAAGTATCTATTAGACCGCTCTTAGAGATTTCACCTGCCCTTGCTTGAAGGATATTTGAAGGTTATTTTTAATCATTTTCTCGCAGCCAGTAGCTTTCAAACAGGTGAAGGGATATCAGGAGCTCCGCCTTTAATAAACCAGCGATGTCTGTGTATGTGTGTGCGTTGGGGGGTGGGAGAAGCAATCACAGCTCCGCCTTCGATTAGCCAGCCTGGCCGACTTGCTGTTGCTGAGCAGCACCAGGCAGCAGGCAGCGTCCGAAGAGGACCGAAGGCGTTCCGGAGGTGAGGAGCAGCTTTCCCGCGGTAGACCAAAACGTCCATTTTATAGTATTTGGGGTTAAAAGGGGTACTGTACGTGCCGTTTCAAGAAGCGTACTGCCTTGTACATACTTAGTGGCGGGCTGAGAGGGGGAGCTAACTGGGACTGTCCGCCGCGCTGCTCTCTAACCGCCCCCCCCCCCCACGGCTCCGGCCAGCCGCTCGGAACTTAGCCCACCGCCCCCTTTTGCTCGTGGCCCCGCTTCATTCCAAGCATGGCGGCGCTCCTCCGTGCCAGGGCCATTTATGACTTTAACTCGGAGAATCCCGGTGAGGTGTCGGTGCGCGAGAACGAGATAGTAAGTTTGTACAGCGAGCAGGACATCGAGGGCTGGCTGGAAGGTACGAATAGTAAAGGCGAGAGGGGGCTCTTCCCCGCGTCCTACGTGGAGATCCTGCGGGGGGACAACAACAACACGCTCGGGGATGCGCAATCCGAGTCCCGATACGCCAACGTGCCATCCGCGGCGGGAGTGGATAATGCCTTCCCGCCCCCTGCGCAGCAACCGACCTACCAGCAGCCCAGCCAGGGCAGCGATGATGACTGGGATGACGACTGGGATGACAACTCCACCGTAGCGGAGGAGCCGGGCACTACGGGAAACCGTTACCGGGACTTCGATGGCAACGGGGCTTCCACCTACAGCGTCTCCACGTGCTCCACGGCAAGAGGACAGCACCCCAAAAGCTCAGCGACAGTCAGCCGGAACCTAAATCGGTTCTCCACTTTCGTCAAGTCCGGAGGTGAAGCCTTCGTGCTGGGTGAGGCGGCGGGTTTTGTGAAAGACGGAGATAAGATATGCGTGGTGATGGGCCAGCACGGTCCCGAGTGGCAGGAGAACCCGTACCCGTTCACCTGCACCATCGACGACCCCACCAAGCAGACCAAGTTCAAAGGGATGAAGAGCTACATGTCGTACAAGCTGACCCCAACGCACACCCAGGAGCAGGTGAACAGGCGCTACAAGCACTTCGACTGGCTGTATGCCCGCCTGGTGGAAAAGTTCCCCGTCATCTCGGTGCCTCACATCCCAGAGAAGCAGGCCACGGGGCGCTTCGAGGAGGACTTCATCTCCAAGAGGCGGAAAGGCCTCATCTGGTGGATGAATCACATGACCAGCCACCCGGTGCTGGCGCGCTGCGACGTGTTCCAGCACTTCCTCACCTGCAGCACGGACGAGAAGGCCTGGAAGATGGGTAAGAGGAAGGCAGAGAAGGACGAGATGGTAGGCGCCAACTTCTTCCTCACCATCAGCACGCCGGCAGCGCCGCTCGACTTCCAGGAGGTGGAGAGCAAGATTGACGGCTTCAAGGCTTTCACCAAGAGATTGGACGACAGCACCCTACAACTGAACGCCACCGCCGGCGAGTTTGCGCGCAAGCAGATGAGCGGATTCCGGAAGGAGTACCACAAGATGGGCGTGTCCTTCAAAGTCCTCAGCCAGGCTTTTGAGATGGACCAGCAGGTCTACTCGGCCGGACTCAACCAGGCCATCTCCTTCACGGGCGACGCCTTTGAATCCATCGGAGATTACTTTGCAGATCAGCCCAACAAGGATCTGGACCCTATCATGGACCTGTTGGCTCTTTATCAGGGACACCTAGCCAACTACCCGGACATCATCCATGTCCAGAAAGGTAACACACTTTACATTAGCTCGACAACAGCGGTGTTTAAGCTAGTTCTATCCGGGACAGTGTACACAATAATCGAAGGATGCAAGGGCCGCCCTGACATTGATCTGCCCATCCATTTTCTATTCCGCTTATCCTCTTGTTTTATGAGGCGGATGGGCTAACCACGAATTCACTACGCTGCCACTTTGATCTTCTTGAAAACCAAAACCAATCCATCAAGTGGAGGTGGTAGGGCTGGGCAATTATGGATATTAGCATTTTGCTCCTCATTAAAACACATTGAATAGCAAAACTGAGAATACTTAGGCCACAACAGCTAGCTAACAACAGGCTTCGGCAGGCTAGCTTGTATCATTCTCACGAAGGGATTATCAGGAAAGATAGCAAAGCCATGCTGATTTCGTCGCTAACATAAGAGTGAGACGTAACCATGTTATACCGGAATTAAATGCTGGGTTGTTCAAGTACACTTTTCACAAAAGTCTGTCTGGAACCGCGTTAAAGCGGAGAACATCCAACTTTGAACTGCAAAATAGCTAATAAATTCATAAGTGTCTGGATTCTGGAGAGAAAATCAAGACTATCTGACCGTGAGTAACGTTACATCTTCTGCGTACATGTTTTGCTGAACTCTTTGTATTCAAACTTGCTTGAAGGGTTATTAGCACTGCAACACAGTTGCTATTTAGCGTTAACATTAAGCTAAAGGCTAAGCTTTCAAAGACACAAGCTGTAATTGTCTTTGATGCTTAGTTTGTCAGTTAACTTCAGATGAGATTGGCAGTGAACATCTTGAAGACTCTTTTTTCAGAATTGTTCCCGATTTGCCAAAGTTTTGAAGTTCCGTCACTTGTATCTCAAGGCACCACTGCAGTGGTACTTTGAGGTTGTTTCCCAGTGACATACGTTAATGTAAACCTAATGCGTTCCAATCATTGTATAGAAAGTCGGTCGAGGTCAACATCCCACAAGAAGCGAAACCCCCGATAGTTCTCACTATGTGGTCGTTTCCTGAGAGGCAACATTGTTCGGCAATGACACACAATTGATGCATTTGTCGAGGAGGATGTACACTATGCGGCACTTGTTGCAATAAAGCCACAATTACGACCTTCTGAGAGGATAGGAAGTCCTTACTTAACCAGGGTTGGTGCTGGGTCTTGTAGCCAATGTGGCCGAACAGTGTAAAAATCTTGTCGCCACATTTGGGCATAATTAGCGCCGACATCGCATGTTTAAGTTTTGCCACGATTTTGCTCCCTGCATACATTATAGTCCAAGTAACACAAAAACACGTAACACTTTAGGGAAGATGTATTTTTTTTCGGGTTGTGGAAATAGCTTCATAGCTAATTGTGCATTGTAGTGGTAGAAATGGTCCAAGTTATTATCAAAAAGGCTAACTCGCTACCGCCCGGTAGCATGTCACCGGCAGATGTAACTCATACGTTATCGGCTTGCAGGGAGTTTATGATCAGAGCACAACCACTCATGCACGTCGCGAGCCGCATGGGGGTTGTGAGATTACTGCATGCAATTTGCGGACAATCTTGTTTGATAGCCAGGTTCTCCCAGCGCACTTCTGCCAAATGGGGAGGAAAATATTTACCTCGCCACTCCCCATTTCACCTTACCTATTTACGCCTTGCAGCCATCACTGAGCACCATGGAGAAAGCATCGTGTTGACCACGGGTCCAAGAAAAGATAAGAGGATAATGTGAATTAATCCTTGTGATGTCATGTTCCATCCATCCCTGACCAAACATAAATACCACGACTGGATGCAACATTAATAATTCATCCCCGAAGGTCTCGTGGTGTTCACGTTCAGTAGCTTGAGCTTTCAGAAGCTGCTCCAATTCTGGCGTGGAGGTTTTCGACTGTCTGTTGGGTTTTTTTTTCACAATATGTAACTGGATTTTTGGAAGAACGGAGGCAGACTCATTGTGGAGTGATCACATCAAAGTGTACTGGAACTCTTCACTCATTCAATTCGAAATGAGCTGTTCCATCAAATCGTGGCATAGCTATAATAATATGATGTGGGAAATAAAAATGTCTATGGTTTCACAGTCATAGCGTCCCTCTGAGGGGAAACCGTAACTACTGTGTGGCCCGCGACAAAACAATGAGTTTGACACCCCTGCTAACGGTTGGATATCGGTTGCTCTTCGTCAAGTACGTTTTTGACCCGTTAGGTGTGGAAAAGGGCTCGCCCAGTTTTCCGGTGAAATTCATGTTTGCAAAACAATCAGACCGCTAATGGGCTACGGCCTGACTTAAACAAAAATGGTCATGCATTGCACGAACCGCCTACATTCCAAAGTAACGTCGTTGACTCTCCGATTTGACACTGAGCCCATTGACTCCATCATAAGGAGCTCTGTGTGTCAACATTCAGTCGTCAGCTGACCTGACACAGGTGACTCAGTTTTCCATGTTGAATGCTGCGACAACATGACTAATATCCCCAGGACCGTCATGATGACATCTACCTCACAGCAGGAATTAAAAGTGATAGCCGGAGGGCTTTAAAAAAAAAAAAAAAAAAAATCCAGCCAAAAGGATGTTTGCTGATCTTGGTCATAAGCGGATGTGTTTCCACTCCAGCATGTTTATTCATTTTAAGTGCTATTTATTCTCTAACCGCATTGGCTTCTTGTTGCGTCAGGTTTGTCCCATGCCAAATCACCCCACCGCCCACCCCCCAAAAAAATAATCTGAAACTTTTAACCAAGCAGATTTTGATTTGAATAAAACTTGGTGAATTTGTTGATCGTGATGGAACAAGACTAAATTTCAAATTTTCGGTAATTCTGAGCAGGGGTTTGGATGCGACGGCCTGCTGAATTTTGACATTTTCAACAAAAAAGGCGCGTGGCCGCCATCGTTTGAACCCTGACCTCAGGAAGTACTGGCTCAGTCTTAACAAAACTACTATTGTTGGGGAGTGACTTCAACAAGGATTCCAAAGCTGCAATAAGATCGGTGCATATTTTAGTAACTTGACCTTTTGGCCTACCATATGACCTTGTGGATCGCATGACCTTAGCAAAACTTTTCATGAAACGTCAACCCTCACATCTTCTCTAAAACTCATAAAAGTGTCAGTGATTTTTTTTTTTTTTTAAGTTTAGCACCAATAAGGAGTCAAAGTAAGGTTTAAAGGACGGCGTTCACGCCCCTCTTTGCCAAAAATGGCAAAATTGGGCAGGCCGTCACTGCCAAACTACCGCTCCGGTTCACCTAAAATTTGACATTTAGTCTGCACCTGCGTGTTGTGGAAAGTCACAATATATAGTGGAAATCTGTAGTTTAGAGCAATGTTTTTTGAAGTTTTTTTTTTTTTAAATAGGAAATTTACTTCCTGTAATGCCTTGATTGTTGATTCAATGTATAGGCCCCGAATTGAAAATGGACACTTGGACGTGCAGTCTACAAAGTAAATCCAGTTCACATTTGAATCCCGCAAACTGCTATGCATCTCCTTCAAAGGATTCAGAATCCATTAAGTCCTTTTTTTGCTCTTCTTGTTCCAAATCTGCCTGCAGTGCTTTTACAAGTACAAACCGTTGACTTTGGTGCCGCTCTTATTGGCTGTTAAGCTAAAAATAATCACGCTCTGACCACTTGTAAACTTTAAAGTGATAAGAAACTGCGGCTCGGGATTACAGCGGTCCGCCAGCTAAAACAACACTGAAATGGGGTCAGATGGAATGTCCACCCCTTACATTTCATGAATTAACTGCCGAGCGAAATCACACAAGGCCCAGTTTTCTGTCATCGGCAAAGTGAGAAACACTCGAGTCGACAGCCGTCAAATGCACCACGGTGCCCTAATGGACGAGCGTGGTGATGAGATAGGGATTGTCCCTCAGGTCGCACGCTCGACCAGTTGAGTATTATGTAAGCAGGGATTACATAAACTCGGCCCAGCAGGGCTCAGTGCCACCTGCGCCCCTCCCCTCATGGGAGACATCTCCACTGAGGCATTTGGTGGGCCATACAGTCAAACATCTGCCAGTGGAAAACTATCCATGGCCAAGGAGCACTGAAACGATATCTTAGGAGCCGTTGAGGAAAGATGATGTTCAAATTTTTAGTCTTATGAAAGTATGTAGCATAGTTAGCATGTTGCATACATGCAATGTCCAAACTGTCCCAGCTACATCAAAGAACTTTTGTAATAAAATGGATGACATCAGTCAGCCGTTTTTTACTGTCTAAAATGTTTGGAGTGAATGAAAAAACTTGTATGTCCACAATCTGTGACCACAACAGGACTTTGTTGTCTTGGTTTTCCCTGGACAGGACGCGTTCACTCACCTCTCAAATAGATCCCGCAAAATCCATGAGGCCAATTTTCACTCAACTTGGTGGAGGAGTGTATAGCTCAAGCCATGGTGCAGAACTGTTGAAAAGAATGGGAAAACGACAATATTAAAAAACAAAAAAAAATTGAATCCCACTGCATTGATTCATTCCACTTAAAAATTAACCACCCTTGAATTATATCGCAGCCCATGTATCGAGATGCGTATCGAATCGTCGGTTTTTCCCGTCTAGAGCAGGGGTCCCCAACCGCCGGGCCGCGGACCGATAGCGGTCCACCGGTCATTTGGTGCCGGGCCGCACGGAAAGAATAAATAACTTACATTCCTTCCGTTTTATTCATTTCGGAATCCGAAAGATGTTTTATTTTGAAAAATTACCGGATTCTCTTTTATATCAGTCTACGTTATGTCACTCTTGACGCAGGTGAATGCGCGCTTCTCGATCACGTGATAGGAAATGGAAACCCAGGAGCTCGCAAAATGAATTAAAAAAACACAAACGTCTTTGAAAAGTTTTTCGGGAAGGGGAAAGGCCCAGCCAGGAGACAGAAGCGGAGCCTGCGACTTTCCAGAAAGAGAAGGCTACATTTAACGGATAGTATCAGGAGTCCTATTTCAAATACGGCTTTATCTCAAGGGGAAATCCACACGCACCAAGCCTACTCTGTAAAATAAGCGGCGATGGTGAGTCGTATTTTTCATGCACTTTTTATTTGCGGCGTATCTTATTTTGAAGGCACGTTTCAACGTGAGCAAAGCGACCAGAGAATGTTGCGACCAGATATGACGTTCCTCGTGTCATGATTCGTGTTTATTATTATATTTCAAAAATAGCAAACTTTTCATGAAGGTCATATCATCTCATATTGTTGTATCAATCCAGCCTTTTAAGGCCGGTCCCCGAAAATGTTGTCTGACATGAAACCGCTCCGTGGGGCAAAAAAGGTTGGGGACCTCTGGTTTAGAGGGTTCGGAGTATTTCGCGTTTTGGATCGCTGTGTTTACTCTCTTATTGTTGCCTTCGGACTTCAGTTCACTTCAATCGGCTGTGTTCAACCAAGCGGAGAGAAATGAATCAATAGCACTTTTTGTCCTGTTACTCGGTCCGGTGTGAAAACACCGGACATTGGCATGATGGGCTTAGTAAATTAGTAATGTTTCGTTTAAGTGCACGGCTGGAGCTGAGAGCGCACGTAAAATGCTTTGAAGGTTATCGAACAGGCCATCACAGGAGGTTGGTCGAGTGTGACTTTAAGCCCACCACAGACCGCCACCCTGAGCCAACAATGACAAGAGCTGCACTGTCTTGCTTTCACTTCAGCCATGCTCAGAAATACCGGCCAATTTGGGCGCGCTTTCTCATGCTATTCGGTGACAATGTTTCAACTGTGAATGTCCAGGTGTAATCGTTTTGTTTTTGTTTTTTTACTACTACAGCGGACAGCTGACCATGTTATCAGGCTACAGGGTGCATGAAAGGGTTAACATAGTTCTTAGCTTGGACTACTTTTCGGAAGCGACTGTGCCTCACAGGCATAGATCATGAAAGAAATGCGACTTTTAGTTCAAACCGAACATTTTTGTTGTTGTTGTTGACTCCTTGGTTTGGCCAACAGGATGCCTTACACACAGCCATGTGTGTGGATTGTGTTTGAAAAGGAAGTTGCTCCACTTTGGTTTCAGTGTGAACATGCGAGGTTGCGACGCATCATGTCTCAATCTGCCTGCGCCGCAAGAACTCGTCACTCACATGCAAATCTTCCCACTCGTGCGGAGCAAGATTTCGATGTTTTTCAACTTTGTAACGATTCGGCGTATGGATTGGAATGGACTGTAGGATGATGTCATTATTCAAATTGAAGCGCTGCTGATGTTTTGTCCTTGAAATAGCCACTGACCTTGGTAGGCGCAGAACATTTCCTTAAATGGAGCTTTCACAATTCACCTTCGTATGTGTGCGTGAGCAAAGTTAGATATTACATTTGAGACTGTGGCAGCAAGGTCAAGAATGTGCATGCAAGTTTTTTTTTTTTTTTTTTTTTTTGTGTGGGCTGTTTTCCCCTCATGACTTTATCTCAGACCGCAACTATAAATACCACTTTTTGCCATCTTTCTATGAGACGCCATGCATCAATTAGTCTTCCGTTTAAGACAAGTAAACCCCTCTACCAAATATAGGCCAAGTACCGCATTAAAAAAAAAAAAACTGCTCATCCCATTTAAAGCGTGTTGCTAACCAAAACAGCAGCAACCACCAAAGCGGCTAAACAGCCTTTGAAATAAATTAATCACATACATCCATTCATTTTCTATAGTGCCCACAACCTCAAGCTGCAGTTGACTAAAGAGAAAATGTAATTTATTTTTTTTTACACACACACACACACACACCAATAAAGACTACCCATCTCAATGTTCCGTATATAAATATCATTTTCAGACAAATCTCCCAGTGGATGCCTTCCCACATCTGATCTGTCGTTGATTAAAAAAAAATAATAAATAAATAAATAATAAATTTAAAAAAGGTAATGATTTGATCAAAGTAAAGACCTCCCTAATTTTGCAAGTGATTGAATGCTTTTCTTGCATCAACCTTCTCCCATCTGCAGTTAAGTAAATGCTATTTTGGGAAAAATAAAGACCTCCCTCACATGTAATTGAATAAATACATGCAGTTTTCTTCAAATAAATACTTCCTCCCTCCCCCAAAGGATGCCTTCCCCATCTGCAGTTGAGAAAATAAGGTTTAGGTTTGTATAGATATGTAGATAGTAGGGGATGCACGTGTACCGATACTGGGTATCGGTACGCGGATTACGGTACGCAGATTTGTCTTGATAGCCACCTTTCTCCATGTGATATTTTGTGTCGAGCAGGCGCCTTGACCAAGGTGAAGGAGAGCCAGCGTCACGTGGAGGAGGGCAAGATGGAGGCGGCGCAGGCGGAGGGCATCACCGAGCGCTGCAACATCATCTCATGCGCCACGCTGGCCGAGATCCAGCACTTCCACCAGATCCGCGTGCGGGACTTCCGGGCGCAGATGCAGCACTTCCTGACACAGCAGATGGCCTTCTTCCACAAGATCACCGCCACGTTGGAGGAAGCCCTACGCAAGTACGACGCCGCGTAGCCTCATGCGTGTCCCTATGCCTGTTTTTTGACTGAAAAGGCCCAACAGAGGCGCTACGGCTCGGAAGAACTTTCAAGGAGGGCAAGTGCAACCGAGGCTTGGAGGACCAATATGTTTGGTCAATACAGGGGTGTCCAAACTATGACCACGTGGGACATTCAAAGCCTGTCGTCCATTTTTTTTAGAACAAAAACACCCACGGGCATATATTCTTTATCATCTCCGAAAAACTATCAGTCTTTTTCGCTTGTACCTGGTGACTGTATTGTATTTCAGTAATCATATTACACAAACGGTTTCGTGATTTACGTTTTGTTTTTGTTTTTATAAATTACAATACCATAGAGTGCTATTTTCCTTATTAAAAAGCACATTATGAAAAGTTGTTTTTTTTTTTTTGTGGGGATGTTGGAAACGGATAAAATATTTTCACTCGTTTCAAAGACGAACGATGATTTGAGATACAAATGTTTTGGGCACCGAGTGTGGTCACGAAACAAATTAAAAACCGTATTATATACAAATCAACCTATGGTTGCTTGACGGAATGTTTTTAGCGTGTTTGATAAATCTAAAGTCGCTCAACGCCAAAGTGGGCCTTACACCCTGGAGTTTTCCTTTGGTGTCCTAAGAGGAAAAAGTTTGGACACCCCTGTATTTAACGCAACTTTTAGGCCTTCTGTTTAATGTAAACGGCATCAGGTTGGCGCACAGGAAGTGATCAGGATTCACTTTTCCTTTTTTTTTCCCCCCAGCCTTATTTTATTAACAGACTACTGCAGCTAACCCAGACGAAAATGTTTACACGTCCTCTCGCTGTGCCTTCTCCTTTTGTCACTCAAGCTTTATATACTGTACATGTTGAAATTGTTTTATTTGTTTTTAACTAAAGTATTTCGCTGAAAACACCACCGCCTTGTTTGATTGGATATCGGGATGTTTCATTTGCAGGTGCCTCTCGGTGAATTAGAATCTTGTGGAATTTTTGAAAAACTGAATTTCAGCAGGGCTCTTCGTCTGATCTACTCACATTTGTTGTGCTGTTCCAACACACACAATATCGGTCGCATCGCAATTGAGGTTGTGAAATAAATCCCTCCTGAACAACAACAACAACAAAAACACAGTTTTTTTTTTGTATTAATGTGAAAATGTATTTATTGTGGCTCCTCCTGTGTGTGAGATGTGGCCACCGGACGGTAGTATAATATCGGCATGCAGACAAACGAAGACTTTCACTACTACGAGTGCATCGGTAGTCGGTTTTCGCAGGGAATATATGCCTCAGAGTAACGTTCTATTGTCTGTCTACATGCATTGTTAGTACATGTTAGCATTACGCTAGAAGGCTGAAAGGCAGAGCTACGCGGTTAATTTACATCCGCAAAATGTAATTCTGTTTTTTGTTTGGCGTGATCACAAAAGTGGGAGTGGCAATGACAGATTGAAGCCTCTTTTTTTAATACTTCTGAAAGTATCACTGTCATAATAATTCTGAATTTTAAAAAATATTTTAAATGAAATTATTCGGCATGCAGATTTTAACTGTGTTTAGTTTACTTGTGGCCTGGCACGTTTGTCTGTGTTAAAAATCAAACGTGCCTCTCGAGCACAAAAGTTGGCCCAACCCTGGCTTCCAGTGTTGTGAAATAGCCGCGTAGACAGCAAAAGCACTGCAGGGGTGGGACGTTCGCCTCTGTGCCGCGTCAGTGTTTTCCTGCCCGGTCCTCAGATGTGCTGACGCCGGCCGGGTGGAACATGCGGGGTCTACATGCATTGTTAGTACATGTTAGCATTACGCTAGAAGGCTGAAAGGCAGAGCTACGCGGTTAATTTACATCCGCAAAATGTAATTCTGTTTTTTGTTTGGCGTGATCACAAAAGTGGGAGTGGCAATGACAGTTTGAAGCCTCTTTTTTTAAGACTTCTGAAAGTATCACTGTCATAATAATTCAGAATTTTAAAAATTATTTAAAAATGAAATTATTCGGCATGCAGATTTTAACTGTGTTTAGTTTACTTGTGACCTGGCACGCTTGTCTGTGTTAAAAATCAAACGTGCCTCTCGAGCACAAAAGTTGGCCCAACCCTGGCTTCCAGTGTTGTGAAATAGCCGCGTAGACAGCAAAAGCACTGCAGGGGTGGGACGTTCGCCTCTGTGCCGCGTCAGTGTTTTCCTGCCCGGTCCTCAGATGTGCTGACGCCGGCCGGGTGGAACATGCGGGTCGCATTAAATGGGAGTGGGCGGACGGCATGCGGCGGACAGGAAGACGTCACCGACATCTGGGGAAGATTTATTTATTATTTTGTTTTTTTATCAGCTGTCGTCGCAACTGCTGTAAACAAGCACTCGACCTATGATGTGAAATTTAGCTTGTTGACGGCTCCAGCCGCCCCCGAAAAATCCAAGAAAAAAATTTTGCGATGTGTTTTCAATGAAATGGGGCACCCTTGTACTTCATAAAAAGTATATGTAAATATAGTAATGATATAATTCATCCATCCATGCACTCATTTTCTAATTCGCTTATCCTCACGAGGGTCGTGAGCGTGCTGGAGCCTATCCCAGCTGTCATCGGGCATAATTATACATAATTAAACCGTTTTTGTCGTGCTGCATTAATTAAATGGCCTATTTTCTGCTCTTCCTGTTGTACTTGCCTTTGCCACTTGGAGGCGGCAAAGGGCAGACGGACACAGCTTCCTGTCCACTGAGATGCCTCAACTACAAACGGCACTGATGTTGCTCATTCTTTGCAGAGGATAAAGAATATATGACGGTTCAGTAGATCCAGTATGTAGCTGAACCGTTTTGTGCTGCTCAACATAGATGCCGTTTAGCATTAGCATTGAGCTAGCGGTCTGAATGGTTCAGCTATGTGGTTGTTGTGAAGGGGATTTCAAGATTTTTTTCTCTCAATATGTGCCACGGTAGTCTGAACAGTATTGTGATACTATTGCATTTTTTGGAGTAAGAATTAGGGAAATGAATCCATCCGTTTTCATCAGTCTGGGCGCTGCCATTTTGGCATGATATCATCCACTATTGTCGACTGAAATTGGAGTCAGGGTGCCCTTGCGAACATCACAGCTCACCTGTTTTCTGGGTTTGGTGGAAAAAAACGAGTCGGTCGAGTCACTCGTACCTCCAAGGCACCACTGCATACTAGATAGAAAATGATGATCATTAGTAGTAGTAGTAGTAGTAGTAGTAGTAGTAGTAGTAGTAGTATGCAGTAGTAGTAGTAGTAGTAGTATGCTGTTTAGGCCCGAGAGATCATGTGGCAATTTTTTTTCCCAACTTTGTGCTGGCCCATTACTTCAATGTGTAAAAAAAATAATTGTGTCATGAACAAGATGCACTCTAAGTGGCCTGAGGCCTCTTGTTTCTCGTCTGTGAGCTGCCAACACCTTAGGAAATGGGTGTTCTGGTTTTGCGGCTTATACAGCTCCCGCAGGGCTTGGAGACATTTGCTTGAGAAATGCAACGCATGCCGGGACATTTGCTCTCACTTTTGTGACCTGCTCAGAGGTGTTTTGTGCACAGGTCACAGTGTATTTGTATGACGTACTATTTAGGGGGAAAAAAAACAATTCTGCCTTGATTGTGATGACTCAAAACTGTTCTTACCTGTGAATAGGATTGTGAGTGGTTGTTTAACCAATCGGCTGGCAACCAATCCAGGGTCGCGCCTAAAGTCATGCGGGATAGACTCCACTGCAGCATCCCTTCGAACCGAACGAAGACAAGCGCGATAGAAAATGAATGGGTGGAAAGTCGTGAGATAAAATCTCCATACAGCGTCATCCACAACAGCAGGAAACTGTTGATTCAGAACGAAACAGACATGCTGCGGCGACACACGTCACAACACAGGCAGACGCGCTACAGAAGTACGATGACCTTTTAACCTTGACTCATCTCCCGCCGCTGACTTTTTTTCCCCCCATTTTGCAAGAAGCGCTCAGCACTATATGAGGCGGGCTCACTGCCATTAGGAAGGGTTGCTACGAGAAATAGGATGGTGTTGATAATGAATATAGATTTTTATCAAGACACATTTGGAACTCTCAGTATGATGAACAAGCGTTTTGCAAAATGTTTTCATCAGAGATGCACGTGACTTTTCTAGATTTTTTTTTTTTGCAATAATTCCGAATGCCCTCTTATTGCTCGTGCACATCAGGTTTTAAAAATAATAATAAATGTAAGATGGTCATACAGTATATTTATGATTTAAGGGTTAGGCTCAACAAAAAGTTGAATTTTTTTTCCTGAAACCTCAAATATATATTACAACACATGAGAAAATATGTCTTGCTCAAGTTTTTTTTTTTATGGGTCAAACTTAAAAACAACAAACCATATTGTTTATGATTTAAGCGTTAGGCTCAACAAGAGGTAGAATTTTTTTTCTGAAACCTCAAATATAAATTACAACACGAGAAAATATGTCTTGCTCAAGTTTTTTTTTTTTTTATGGGTCAAACTTAAAAACAACAAATTAACATATCTTTAAAAAACAATGTGCTAGTTTAAAAATTAAAGACTTTTTTTTTTAATCCTCAAAAATACATCGATCTCAAATTAAAATGTGCTGTTTACATATTTTTCATTCATTTTTCCATTTTTGGCAGCGCAACCACTGGGTCAGCACCCATTTTCCAAGATGACAGCATGAAACCAGACTTGACATTCAAAAACATACATGCTAGCCTCATTTTTAAAACTAGAATTTGCCCATAGTGGTGAAATTTAGTCAGGAAAAGGCATCTTAATCTTCTCAGTAGATTGCTGGTAGAAATCAAGGTTCAGTTCCAGTTTTCAACCAGTAGGGGCGCTCCATTATTTCTCTGTCCCTTTTCCTTATTGTAAAATCTGGCGTCATTTTTCATGATGGATGTTAAGAACCTCAAATTGCAGGAAAACCACAATATAACTCATCAAGGTATAAATTGCCGGGTTTTTTATGCCAGCCATACAATTTTAAATCGCCCTGTGGCAAGAGTGCAGCCCACTTCTCGCCCAAAAGTCAACTGGGAAAGGATCCAGCTCCACCGCACTCCTAATGTGGACAATATAAGAAATACAGTAGATGGATGCATGTCTCCTCCGTCAATGGCTGGCACTGAAAAGCAGAATAGTTAATCAATGTCACCACGTCGCTTCCTGTTGCACCCACGCTGCTTCCCCAAGAAAAACAACAAAATGCCTCGTAATTTCTTCTCTGCGCCTCACTCAATCACAGCCCACTTATGCTGTCACACACGAGCAAGATGTCAAGGCTATGTCATAAATGACTTCCCCTCGGTGGATTCAGGTCCGCCACTCCTGTCCATACACATATTCCACCACAAATTATTTTATTCCGCTGATTCCTCCGTGCCGTGTTGCTAGCCCGAGACTGGAAGCGTGTCTACTTTCTCTTACGAAAGGAAATGGGTTTGCTTGATCTGGCCGTGCCACATTTCAAGTGGAGGTGCGATTGTGGGAAAGCACCGAAAAACATTCTTCATTTTGTGACCAGCCCCACAGACATAACATTTCACGTTAGGCTAATTTTTAACAGCTAAGTGGGAGCTAGCTTATTTTAGCATAGCATACAGAACATGCATACTGTACTGTAGCTCACTGGTCCCTAGCAAATGGTTCGTGGACTGTATGGACACACACACACACACACAGTAACAGCATATCTGCCCCAAATGTGCATTATCACCTGGTACTTCAATTTTGTTTGGCAACAACGCTCGAATAGGCTCGTTGGTTTTCATGTACGAAAGCTGAACGGACCATTCTGATGGGATCCGTTTTCAATCAATGTAGGAGGGAGTTGACTTTGTCGAGTGTCGTACTGTCCCACACGTTAAATCTTCGGACCAAATTTGACAACAGCGAACAACTGTATGTTAAAACGTCAAAAGAGGAACTACAGTGTTTGGATCTTGAAATGGAGCATTCCGGGTGACCTCACATCTGCGCCATGTCACGTTTTGACTACATGAAAAATTAAAAAAACGGAGGAAGGGGAGAGATTTGTGTTTTTCAACCAGGAAATCCAGTCACGAATTTATGTCACCAAAGAAAAAAAATGAGGGTACATTCCTCACATGCACAAGTGTTATCTAGCATCAAAACCAATACCAACAACTACTCCCCCCCAAAAAACAAGCCAAAACAAAAATACGGATCGCAACACATTTAAGCTTAAGGAGACTGTATGAGGTCCCCAAATTCAATCATTGTCTTCAAAACGATATTTATGTTAAGTGATGTCTAGAAAGACAACTATATATATATATATATTAAATACAAACAAGAGTGTTTATGTTAAGTGAAATCCATAAATACTTTTTAAAAAATACAAATAATTATAATTTAAAAAAGGTGGTCTATTTTATTTTGAATTAAATTCATGAGAATTGGTAGTTTCCCAATGCAGAAGTTGTTGTCCATTCCTGCAGGTATGCAAATATCAAGTCACACTCACGTCAGAGTGAAAGTGGTCATTGTGCTTATCTGCTGTTGTGTGATGGCCAGATGACAACCGGTTTATTATCGGCCATGACGAGGCCGGCGATAGTGATGTTGGAGGCGGAACAACATTGTCACAGTTGCTGTCAACATGGGATTATTAGCAAATAAAACTGATTTGGCATTGCATCTTTTCACATCCTCTTTTAAAGCTGAGTTAACTATTTTACAAACAAGCTCTTGGGTTGCTGTATTTTTCCTTTCCAAGTGTAAATGACCTTATCCTCTTCCTCGGTGGCCTCACACAAAGCAGGAAGTGAGATTAGACAAACACGTGGGCCTGGTCAGCGCACTCCCGTGAGATCATCCGCCAACCTCAGCACGACCGCATGATGCAACGATGACACCCGGCTCTGAAAATTCTGTGAACCATTTTCGCTCAGGATGTCTGCTGACACATAAATGTAGGACTTGTGATATGATGAACCCAGAAAAAGAGGAAGTATTTTTAAATATGTGCATCACACATATTGATGGGAAACTGATGGGAAACATGAGTCCGCACACATGCAAAAAAGCCACCGTTAATTCGACCGGAACTACAATACACACCTACCACGCTAGCTACATTATTGTAAATCTACCAATGTGTGTGTTTGTGTATTTATATAGATAGACAGATATAGTTTAAAGGGTTGTTACACAGCCACATAGATGCTAATCATTGCCAATGTTAGCATTAGCCTTAAGATAGAGGCTAAAGGCTAAGCTATGTGTTTTGTTTTGTTTTTTAATACATGACTAATTCTCTTTGTTTTGACAGTAAACTACTAGATGGAAGTGTATTTACTGATTCATGTTTGTATTTCAAATTTGCACTTACAAGTCAAAGCAAAAAAATAAATAAAAATAACTCAGGTTACTCATATCCGAAGGCAAGACTGAAATTTAGATGAATAAAAATGGTGAATATTGTTTCCAAATCCTATTGTTCAGGAACAAAATTCTGTATTTGTGCAGCATTTCATGTTTGGATTCCAACACGTTTTTGTTTTGGATTGTAGGCAATGCATCATGGGAAGGTTGTCCTGTACAGTACCTGGCAGAAGCTTCTGGAATGTTGGAGCAACGTGTGCTCTTGCAGTGCTGCTTTTGTTTTTACAGCCCTCACACAGGAAGCCGTCTCTCTCTGGTGGGGGCCTCATTCATGTCGTATGACAAAACGCTGACTGACCCCCGCGCCCCTTCTCACCCAAATAAGCCTCCACCTCTCTGACTAATCTCCAAAATATACACAACATGTTCATGTTTGCTTTCTTTCTTCTATTTTGGGTCTTTGTGGACCACAGTACATTCTCCCAGGTTAGCCTCCATCACAAAGCTTCATTTAACACACTAATTAAAATAAACGAGGAGGAACAACCGGAGGGAAAAAGGCCTCGAGTCTTGCTGGGAATTATTTAATGGCTTATATAATACTGCGTTGGTAGACTTCTCTTCAGTATGTAATGAGCTTAAAGAGAAGTACACTGGAGACTAATTGTAATTATAAAACCACTCTTTCCCATACAAAATAAGTGAACTGAACAAAAACTCACTGTGATAAAACAAGCACAAACTCTGAAGGCACGATACCATGTTGATATCGTGTCGAACTGTCACACAAGTACAAAGGCAAGTTAAGAACGCCATAACCAAACTAAAATAGAGTAAAACTACTCACTCTTTGAAGACACCTGATGACAAGGGCATCATCGCACCTGTGGGGAATTGGTAAAGATTGCAACATGCCCACTTTTAGCTTCATGTTGTTCATAATAGCATCCAGTTGGTAAAATCAGTTTGCGTGATTACTAAGCACCTCGTTTTTTGTTGGGGTTTTTTTTTGCCTCTGGTAACCCACTTATTTGGTGTACATATAATAGCATCCAGTTGATAAAATCAGTTTGCGTGTGATTACTAAGCACCTCGTTTTTTGTTGGGGGGTTTTTTGCCTCTGGTAACCCACTTATTTGGTGTACACGCCTACACGGTCATCAGGGAGTCCAAGTCAAGACAACCGCACAACAGTTGTTCAAGCTATGCATGGCCAAGTCATCAGGGAGTCCAAGTCAAGACGACCGCACAACAGTTGTTCAAGCTATGCATGGCCAACTTCAAAATAAACCTTCTCAATCCCCCCAAAAAAACAATATATGAACATCAATGACTTTTATTTTGAAGCTAACTTGACTCTTCTTCCTGTCATTTGGTGCTTATATTACTGTTACCGCTGACATCAACAACACTACATTCTGAAATCAAGTTCAGTCACGAATTAACGACACAAAAAATATATACTTAACGCTGACATTGTATTATACAGCGCCTGATGCCAGTGTATAGCGACGGCTCCAGCGTTAGCGGCTAGCAGATATCTGTTAAGCTAGTGTACCTTTCAAAGGCAAATGTGAAGCGGAATCAGTGCCAACTTGCACACGCAGGGCATCTGTTTTTAATAGTTTCAATCAAAGGCAACCCTTAGGGAAGAGCAGTACATAAGCCACATGGATCTTTAGGATGATTTGTAGCAGTGATGAACTACACAGCAGAGCTAATCAGAAGAAAGCCATTTAGCGCTGAATCCGTGTCTTTTTGTGCTACATTGACATTGCGCCAGGCGCATGCTGCCCTTGACACTGACGTGTTACATTCTGTACGCCTCTGCAGTATTTTACACGCCTTGATTGGCTCTTAGGAACAAACTACCGGTAAACGGCTTCCTAATGGTGTATTTGAGAGAGAGAAAGAGAAATAGAGAAATAGAGAACGGCTTCCTAATGGTGTATTTGAGAGAGAGAGAGAGAGAGAGGCCTCTTAGGAAGTGAAATGGAGCAAGCGCAGAGGTTGGAGAAGTTCAATAAAGCCTCAGTGTGAAACCTCATTAAAGCGTGGAAGTCAAAAGCACTCTGCGTTGTCGTGTCTTGGTGCGCACCCGCAATTATCAACCCTTAAATTACAGTCATCAGACGGATTGTACAAGAACACTTTCCACACGAACAACTGACCTGTTCCACAGTGAGAGCTGCTTTGAATGCTGGCCCTCTCATGTGGCATATGTAATAAAGCAAACAATGGTCCTGACAGTGCTGAAAGTTTATGACTCATTGTCATGTAAAGAAAAGGTCAAGAAGTCAGACTTTTAAAAGCTGACCGCTTTTCAGCTTTCCTTTGCTCAGTTTTCCACTTAAAACTACTACAGAAGGAAATAGGTGGGGGAGGCGGATATCTCTCTCTCTCTCTCTCTCTCTCTCTCTCACTTATCTGCTTAAGAATCTTGCCATTTTTTAAAATATTAATGAGGGGTGGAGGAAGAATCTGGTTTGGCGATGAGAACTCGTTTAAGCTTTAAGCCTGAGTTGTCATGTTGACTTGTCAACTAACTGGTTCAATTTCTAACAGGAAACAGTAAAAACCACATTGCACTTTGAGGGAGACTAAACAGAGAACAAAATGGAGGCTGATGAGGGTCTCTTGTATTTACTTCTCGTTACTCTTGAGGAGTAAAGACAGGAAATCATCTTAAAAGGGAGACATTTTATCCAAGAAGAAACTGTGGGCAGCAAGAAAATAAACTACTAGCGCAGCGAAGTTTAGACAGTGACGTATAAAACTACATCCAGGGCTAAAACACCCCACGCTAAGCTAATTTAGCATTTGTGAGTAGAACTGGGGTGTGCTCAGCAGGTGACATGCATTGGAAAAGGGGCATAATTATATTGTCTTTGCTAACAATACTTGGGGAAGTAAAATGAGACAGATAATGGTAATAGTAATGAATATGTTTCTATCCTCATTTTAGTACAAAGTGTAGAGATCCCTCGCAGGGTATTATCAAGTGCTTCTTGTAATGAGAGTGATCCTAAGAGCTACTAAAGAAGACTTAAGGGAGACATTTTAAAGCCCGTTGGGGAGACAACACAATCATTTAAAGTGGTTTAATAAAAATATGGTATAAATAAAATATTGCATTGTACATCATGTAGGTTTACATCATTTAGAGATTAGAATAATGTGCATGGGGTAGAGGATTCTAATCAGTCCATTCCAAAAAGTTTCCAGTGATTATTCAGTACCTTCCATCAACAGCAGCTCTTCTTTAAAACATCCCAAATCATAAATACCAGGATATAATTCAGTCCATTTTTTTCTGCTTAAGTGGACTCTCAATGAGTCATGATGACAACAAAGGCTAATGAGGGAAATCCCATCAGAAAGAAAGCGAGCATTACACGGTGTGTTAACTTTAAACATTTGTTCTCACACATGCTACGAGTAACAACACGATGCAGTAAAATTGTGTATTAAATGAACCGTATTGAATTTTTAATCCGTGATCGGGCCTATGAACATGGCATTTCGGAGCAGCCCACTTGCAACACATTAAAAAAATACAAAGTAAAACAAATGGGGGGTCGGAAGGGGGGGGGGGATACCTGAGTTTAGAAAAAAAACATCATCAGTAGTCAATTGAGTTTTGAAAATCGCGTAGTGAAATGCTAAAACAGCAGCTTAATCAATATCAGAAATTCCCATTGTTCGGGCACCAAAATCACTTAGCTACCATTTGCCACAGTGTTCAGTGATCAAGTGTTTTTGTATTTCACCGATCATTACAGTGACATCATGTTACGTTTAGTAGTAACAACAGCACCCTCTGGTGGTCTTAATAAGGTGCTAAATGGGCGGTACCATTTAAACAGCAGCAGGACGGACTAATAAGAACAGCGAATGTTGGATTTTTCCCCATGACTGTCTCAGAGTTGCCAAGAGGCAACCAAAATTATGTCACGTAGTGCAGTGGTCCCCAACCCCCGTGCTGCGGACCGGTACAGGTCCGTGGGTCATTTGGTACCGAGACGCACAGAAATAATAAATAACTTACATTACTTCCGTTTTATTTATTTCGGAATCTGAAAGATGTTTTATTTTGAAAAATGACCGGATTCTCTGTTACATCCGTCTACAGTATGTCACCATTGACGCAAAAAAGTCACTTTATGTCAGATTGACATTTTCCTTAAAAGCGGTCGTACACATGGCCACCATTTTAAGTGCCTCACGACTGGACATTGTACAAATGTCTGCAGTCATACAAGACGAAGGCAAGCCAAAGTGCCCCACATGAAATGGATGGATCATTAATTTAGTGAATATTCACGCTGTACAAGTGGAACATTGAACCCTGACTCTCAGGTCCTAAAGAGGCAGCACTGCATCATCATTATGCTTCCAAATTAAGGTGAAACGAAACGGAGGTGTTTATGTGTGTTCAAAGATCACGAAGAGGGAAGTGGTCAGATTGTGCTTTTTACAAACGGGGCAGGAAATGAGTCATGTTATCAATGCAAGTTGACATATCGTCACTGTCGGAGGGGGGAACCCAGCATGCCTAAAAAAGGGTCAATTTCTTTTTTCTTTTTTTTCCCCTGTTGATTTGAGATATTATCAACCAATTTAAAGGACTGAAAATCTGAACTGTCAGGGAAGTGTCACAACTTCACCACTTCCTAATTACGTGGAAGCCTTGCAGCATTATGTTGCCCAAAACATTTGTTCGAGTTTGGGGAAGATGATGAAACCACATTTTGCGTTTATGAATTATTAAAGCTTTTTTTTGTGGTCGATGAGAGACTTTTTGTCAATGCAAGGACATTTAATGTTAGCCAGCTAGAATGACCAAAGTGCCTCCATCTCGACACATTAAAGTGATTTCTCGACAGTTCTGTAACAGCCCCTCTTTGTTGACAGAACGGTAAAAATTTTTCCGTCCCTTCTTCTTGTGAGATATACAGTACATCGGCCATTTTTTGAGCTACATAACTTTTCCGCCTGATTTCACATCTTTCATCTGAGGCGGACAGACTGGTACAGTGTCACTTTGACATACTCAAAATGGAGTCTAGTCTTGGGCGAGAATCAGCCCCAAAAAAAGGTTGAAGGTTGGTCAATAACCCTTAATTGCTTTTGAATAATTCATCTTACCGAGACATTTTGGACAATTCTATGCGCCCCAACTGTTTGCGCTCAAACCCAATACTGATTCCTCTGAAGAGAAGGAGAGGCGGTCTGGAGAATTTGGGACGACGCAGTGGGAGAATCGCTACTCCAAGAGCTTATGAGAACGTTGGAATCAGCCGTGCTATGATTGTACGGGCGCTGGTTCCGTACCAGTAAGTGACTGAGAGCAGGGCTGCCTGTGCTGCCGGGGCTGAGTGGGGTGACGGTGACAGTAGGGGCGGCGGCGCTCCTCTGGGGCTGGCCCTGGTACGACTGGCTGCTTGGGAGACCGGCGGGAGGTCCCTCCTTCGGCGTGGCGGTCCTCTGCTTCCGTCGCCGGTCGTGTCGAAGGAAAACAACCAGCACCACGAAAATGATCACAAGCAGCAGCAGAGCGAGTAGCGGTAAGATAACCAGAAGAGGGTTGGAGCTTTTTTGCGGGTAGGATTCCACACGAACGGGTGTGTTCATGAAGGGAAAATGAGCAGTTCCTGTGGTCGGTTTCGCGAGGGTTGTGCTGAAAACGCCCGTTCGATTGGACTTCCCCCAGCGGTTGCGTCCTTTGAATCGTTGTTGGTTTTTGCTAGGCTGCTGGGTGTAAACGACAGCCGTGGAGCGGTCTGAAGCAGGAGCATTTCTCGACGTCTGGATTGTTGTCTGAGGAGGAGATGATGTTGTGACCACGGGGTTTTTTGTGGTTGGAACAGCCGCGGGATCATGCGGCACAATGGTAAAATGGAACTCCCCTTTAGCAGGTTGGACATTGTCGGCTTTCAGTAAAAACACCAGCGAGTCGTTTAAATCTTGAACTCCTGTCAAGTTGGCATTCAACTCCAAGCTTATTTTCTCTTGCATGACATCCTGGAACGTGAACGACTCAACCGCTTCAGATTTACGCCAGTTTTTCGTCTTTGGCCGAACCACTTTCCCGTTATTGGGGTGTGAGACGATTTCAAATACGGGGTCGCAGCTACAAATAGCAGCCAGTTTCGAGGCATCAAGGGACGCGGAGTTCAGTTTTAGAACAATGCCGTTGGGTGCCTGGACACTTTTGCCAAGCTGGATCAGAGGAGTGACAGTGACGTTTAACACCTGCGCACTCAGATTGGCCTCAGAAGTGAAGGCCGTGAATTCAAAGCTGTCTTCCGCGGATGAAAGATCGGTCATGTGATAAGCGAGATGTCCCGCCTGTACAATTTCCTGCTCAAACTGGAACACCTCTCGGTCGTCCAGCAACAGTTTGCCAAACTTCGGAGGTCTTAAAATCAGGTAGTGAATTGTGGCGTTCCTGCCATTCGTCCTGGCGGCCAAGTTGTCTCGAATCAGAGAAACGGCTGTGCTCCCTTGCTCAAGTGTCAGCCCCGTGTGGTTGACGAGCGAGATGCTGATCTTGGTCACATCGAGGTTAAAGAGTTTGTAAATCGGCTTATGGTGGCCATCAGTCACGCTGAAGTAAAACACCCCTGACGTAGGGCTGCCATCATGGATAAAATAAACACTCGCATTATTGATCTGGGCTTGGGTGAAGGTGCCAATCGATTCATTCAATCTTCCGTCAAGGGCCAGGTAACCATTATTGGGCTTGCTAATCACAGAGAAGACGATATCGTCGGGGGGATTGTCTAAGTCTTCCACGCTGAGGTTCTCCGGTTTAATGGCAACAGACTCTCCTTGTACCACGGTCAGACTCGGCGCTTTGGTCTTCAACACAGGCGGCTGATCATTCACAGCAGAAATTGTAATGTTGAAAGACTCGTCGATGACATCCATGTCATCGAAAGGCCTTTGGGCAGTTTTGCCCTTTGGGTTCACCCACGCGCTGAAGGCGAAGGAATCGTGGCTTGTCTCCGAGTTGTCGTGCTTGTAGGTGATGCCGTATTTGTTGACGATGAACTGAGAGAAGTTGGGTTTCTCCTTGGTGAGGTTTCTTTCGCCGACGACGATGACACCGTGCTGCGGCAACGACGTCACCTGGAACCAGACTTCGTTGGCGCTCCGCTGAGGCGTTGGCAGCTTCGACATCAGGTTCGTGGCATCCAGCTTGGTCTCATCAATAACGACGCTCTCTCCTTCCGTGACCTGAGCGCCTGGCGTAAAGGAAACATGATATTGGTCTTACGTTTTGAGAGAAGGGTTGTTAACAACTTTGTGAAATTTGAACGATTAAAAAGAAAAGAGAAAAAAAGTGCAATGAAATGAGGCTCCAAAAGAGAACAAATCAAGCCATTTGTTTCTGCTCTCAAACGCTGTGGGCGTATCCGCTAAAAGCGCTGAGACCACATCCCGGCTCAGCTGTCAAGTGTCCTTCAAATGCCAGTACTACTACCTGGAGCTACAGGCTCTGGTGGATCTAAAATCTCTCTCTCGGTCGTTGCGAGGCATTTCTACACTCTGCCATAGGGGTGCTCTGAAGCGGCCATGCCAGCGTAAAACCCCTTCCACACACATATGCACAGGCTGTGTCAAACTTAAAACTCATTTACTCCCAAAGACGTTTTTAAACGTCTTTTCAGACTTGGTCTAGAATTGGATGGTACTGAATGAGTTAAAAAAAAAAAAAACATTAAAAATCCCCTTGCTCTTCCGCCTTCTCTCCCTGACGTGCATGCAAATTACAGCCGACAACGACGCGCTCTACAGCAGCCCCGCACGCCCGAAGCCCGGTTCCACAAACCGGCGTCAAGTTGAACTTCTTGAAATGATTTGAGACCCCTCCCGTCTGTCTCCACATGACGTGCGTGCACTCACACACCCCACAACTATGTGTTCTAAAGTGGCTAGGCCAGGACCAAAGCTCTGGTCGACATACCAGCTGTCAAACGTTCAAACTACTCTTGTCTGCATGACATGCATATACTCATGGCTGACAATGAGGCGCTTTAAAGAAGCTACTCCAGCGAACTATCTGAAGGGAAGGTGCATCAATGAGTCCCGTGTTAGCCACACTAAAAAGAAAAAAAAAGTCAAAGTAAAATGATGAAAAAGAATTGAAAGCTCGATCTCCACAATTGAGCACCACATTGTATTCAGTCGTTGCTCACGTTTCCAGCAATTATCTTCAAAACATGTATAACCAAGTCTGAATTCATTTTCCGGGGTCAATGGTGGGCTGTGATGTTGTTACCGGTGTTCGCCAAAAGGATCGTGTTATGTCGAGGTCCTTTATTCTCATAGGAGATGTCAATCTTGAAGGTGAGACTCTCCAGGGATGAAGGTGGTGATGTCACAGAGAAGCTCAGCGAGTCCGCGGCTTCCCAGCCCGCCGCCTCAACGGGGGTTTGGATGTACAAGACCTCTTTCCGATCCACCTGCCAGACAATCACAAAGAATGTATCGCAAAGTCCGAATTGGTCCTGCTCGGAAGCTAACGCTCATTGGAATGTCTTCGTGATCTCCACCCACCATATCTTGCGTGAACGTGGAAATGTCAACGGAGAAATTCTCAGACTGCTTTCTCACCAGGCGCCCCAGTTTGGGATGTCGAATGACCCGGAACGTAATTGTGCGGTTCGAAGTATGGCTGACGTCGTTGGTTACTACTTGCAATTCCTCATTTGAAATTGGCGTTGAGGAACCTGAACAAAAGGAAACATTATTTACAGTTACCGACGTCTAATGTATTCTGTTACGCAGTTCGGCTAGAACTACAAAAGTATTCGAGTGCAACGAGATCTCTACTAAAAGCGGAAACATACTAATCCATACTTCATGATGGTGTGATCCAAATGCAATGTGCGGTGTAACAAAAAATGGACTCAGTGACAAACGCATCTACTTGGTAGGGTACAAATAAGCCCTTTGGATGAACGCAACACTGAAGGCAGGTGAATAGATCACTTTTCATGAGCTTTCTCAGTATTCTCGTCTTTCTTGGTGATGGTACAGACACTTTATGGAAACATGATGAAGCCGTTCTGAGTCCATTATGAGGCATATGCAACCATTTCATGAAGAGGGGATTTACCCACGGCCAACCCAGGACATTTGAGAAGCATGACATTGTGAGAGAGATTCACTGTACTTCTCACACCATCTTTAATTGTCTGCTAAATCTCTGACCTTGTTTGCAAAAAAAAAAAAAAAAACTTCCTCAGACGAGACAGTGTAAAGCTCTTTGACTTGCCACTCTGGGAAGCGTAGCAGAGCGTGCCAACTGGCAGGTTGCTACCCTCATAATATCCTTTTTCCCCCTCCAAGCTCGCAATCCAGACGGCTGGAAATCCCAGGAAAGCTAGCAGACAGTCATTGGCGTATTTTTAGCTCAACTTTATGAAAATAGCATAGCTACCATCAAACATTATTAATGATGAATTGCATTTGGCAGCTCCCGTCAGTGAGAATTGGTGGAAATGATTTAGCAGAAGAGAAGTCAGCATGAATAAGAGTAAAATACAGCGCAAGTATTTATAAATAGTCTTGACTTGGTTACAAAGTGGCGGATGACTTAAACATAGAGGCAATCAAGATGAATTGTCAGCTTACTTCGTGGTGCGATTTACCTGGAAAAACCTTAAGGGGGCGATTTTGGGCCAAATTGAGGACCAAGGATCTAGCAGTGATGCTAAAGATCTGCCGGGGAGTAAAATTCACACCGTCGTTGACTTGGAAGTTAAACCCTCCGGACATGGCACCTGGAAGGAACCGGATTCCAAAATGAAACCAGGAAGGATTTGAGTGGCCGATGACAATCACACGGCTGTTTCGCAGCCGACTGAGAAATGACTTTCACCTTTATGCACAAACAGCAGCTGTCCCCGGTCTATGTGGGCCTGGGTGAAGTTGAGCACGGCTGTCATGGGGGCGCTCTTTAGGGCCAGGTGGCCGTTGCTGGGTGGGGTCACCATGAAGTGGAGCTCCTCCGGGGATGTGTCGAGGTCCTGCGCCCTCAAGTCCTCCAGGCTGATCTCTGTCACCGAGGACACCCAAACCTTGACGCAGGGCATACGGACATAAATGCGCGTCAACAAAAGAAATAGTCAGCTTTCAAAAGCCACACCTGAAGGATTTATGATACGTACCAATGAAGTGTAACGCAATATCACAAAATAGCTGGAATAACGCGGATGCTCCGTGACGGTTAGACCGCTGAAGGCCTTTGGAGGCAGCTGTGTCCTTTACTTGGTAACGACACAAAATGCTGCGGACGGTCACCTCTAAGGCTATTTTCCCATCGCCTTCTTCAATCTCCCTTAGCCTTTTTCCATTGCACATCATCCAATGAAGCAGGAAAAAAAAAATTGTCTTCGAGATGAAGCTCGAAAGGACGGCAGGACTACCGGAAGAAATGTGTCAGCTTTTCCAAACAGATTTACCAAGCATAATTCAAATAGGAAGGGATTCACCGTAAAAGATCTTTTTTTTTTTTAATTGAAATAATAATAATTTGATTTGGGGAAAAAAAAAGTTTCCGACTTTGGCTGACAGCATTTTTTTTTTCTTTTTTCAGTGTGACAGATGCCATTTTGGCTGTGAAAGGATGCACGTGCTGTCATAAAAATGTCGACTGTGTTAAATATCATGTTACAGGTTGACATGTTTAACCGTTTTTTCTTTCTGAGGGGGAAAAGGAGGTGCCCAGTCATCATTTGATTACAGTATTGGTTTTATTGTCCACAACAAGTTATTTGATGTTCTCCTTGTCAATGCGGGGAAGTCAACCAAAAATTTTCTTTCCATTAATATGTTCTTTGTGCCTTCATTCGTTTGAACAGGGCATGATTAATTAAGCAGAAAAATCCACCTGATGTTAGCCATCTGAGGGGGCGGCCATTTTAGCACTTCCTGTCAACTTAATATGACCTCACAGTTGCTGGGGAAACAACCAAACACGGCTCACCTGTTTTCTGAAGATGATGAAATTGGGCCCCATATTATCCACTCATAAATAATGAAAAACATGACATTCATCAAAACAAACATTTCTTATGACCCGACTCTGAAACATGCGAAAGAGCCTCATCTAAGGGCCTCGTAAACAGCGCCCATGTTTGGACTTCCTGAATGGAGCTGTCCGCATGTGGCCTGTGGCATCTCCCTTGGTTGCGCGACTGAATCTGTAAGGGAAGTGGGAATGGTGTGGTGTCCTGTTTCTAAATTCAACCGGGGTGCAAGTGAAAGAATGAATGAAGAAATGAATGAAGAAGGGTGACAGAGGTGCGCAATTGCTCATGCGCACATCTTAGATGGAACATCGGTGGCGTTTCAGAATAAATACACTCATGGCTCATAATTTTCATCATATTTTGTGTGTACCGGCACTTGATTGTTATCAAGCTTAATGTCCATTCTGTCAAAATGAAATTATCAGTTGATTTAAAAATCTTTCAGAATTTTTAAATAGCCAGCTTGCTCGGTGAGTCATGTTCAAGGTCCATCATGTGCTGATTCCATTTGCCAAAAATGTCCACGCTGTCAACAAACTGACATATTTTGCAGTTTGCATGTCTGCTTGCAATTATCTATTTGTCAGCGGTGACCCTCATAAGGACGAGCGCGACTGAAAATGGGCAGATGGATAATCAGTTGTATTATCGGTAAGTTTTCAGGGCAGAGCATATAATAAAGTGAAGGAACTAAGATACACGAATTCAGAATGTAAGAACGCATTTTAAGGACAGCGAAAATCCAAACGCCTCATTATGCCGTGCAAGTTTAATATTCCCAAGCGAAACCCGTGAGCTGTGCAAAAGAGTTGACAACAAAGGATGAGCTTCTATTCGCTGCGCCAGAGCAGCTATTGCGTAACGCTGCCACGAACACAGGTCGTAACTCCCACAGGCAGTTCTGCAGTGAAGATCCAAACTATGACAGTACTTCGCCTTTGTTGTTGCCAGTGTCAGTTACGGCTCGGTGGAGTTTACAAAGGACGATGTACAAAGCACGAAAACGGATGTCATCTTGGTCTAAATAAAGGTAAACGCGAAGACTGATCTCGTCATTCTAGCAAATGAGTGTAATGTGACTATTCTTTTTTTTTTTTTTGTTTCCCTCTCCCACTTTCTTTTTACTAGGGATTCATGACTTAGTGGTGATGAAATGGTGTTCAAATTACAGGCTTTGACTTAGCAGCGATCAAATGACAGGCTTTGTATCAGTCTGCCACTTCCTCAGTGAGTAAACTGCTCTTACTGGAACAGAAGCACGGGGTCCTTTTTCAATTAGCACCTGTAAGCCAGCCACATGGGACCCTCGCACTTCCCATCAGCACCGCCAAAGAACGTTCGCCTCCATAGGAGCATGCTAATCAGCAAGCCCTCCGGAGGGAACAGCAAGCACCTCGAGCACTCCCCCGCTTCGTCGCAAGTCGCAGCGGGGATCAGTTTGACGAGCGGCTTCAGAGCTGAGTCACCAAATTCAAAGACGCGCAAGATCAATTTGCACACAGTTTCCTCAACCTCGCGTCAAATCTGAGGCTCTCGACTGGTTTCCAACAGATCATCAAGATTTTCACGGTGGAGCTGACAGCAACGCTGTCAACACTCCAGCACTTTTCACCCTCTTATATAGAATACATGAGTTCCATTGAAAAAAATGGACATTATTAAATAAAGAATAAAATAATTTTGGGAAGGCTAATTTAAATCAAATTTAAAAAAAATTTTTGATTGTTTGGAATGAAATATTCTAACTTCTAGATCTGGTGAATTGTGGGTTTTCACTTGCTGTAAGCTATATAATATATTGTTCAAAAATACCTTTTACCCGATTTGTTGGGAAACTTGTATGATACATAAATGACGATTTTTTTTATTATACATTTTTCCACAATAATCTCATCTATTCATATGCAACTGTGTATAGTTAGAGGCGTCAGTTTGAGCACATATAAAGATGGTAACTTTCAAACAAACCTCCCAATAATTTGTTTCATTGTCCAAACTAATACTCTGAGCAATTCAAACTGAAGTACAAGAGAGCCACCTTGTGGACAGCAAACTGTTAAGTACATTTGTTGACACTGAACAGAATGCAAGGCATCGCCGCTATAGTGCCGGCCCTCATATCTGGTCGCAGGCGAGCTGGCGCCAATGCCACCCGATTTTTGGCGCGCAGCGGAGTAATCCCTGGACTGGTCACCAGCCAATCGCAGGACATAAAGACAAACGATCATGAAAAGCGTCTGGAAGCGATCAGCGAGCGCTGTGCTGGATGTACTGGTAAACGTTTAAAATATAAAGTAGGAGTGTAGGCTCACCCTGAGGACTCTGTTGGAAGTGATCACGGGGGGCTCATCGTTGACAGCTGTAACCTGGATGAACAGCGCGCGAGCCTCACTCTGCTTTTTCAGGCCTGTGTCGTTGGCAACCACTGTGAAGTTGTCTGCTAAGGTCTCACTGCTGTCGTGGACGTAGTAGATGAATTCATGCTCCACCTGGTTGAAATTTGGAAATTATGAGGACGGATATAAAGTCGGTGCAGAACAAATACAAAATGAGGTGTGACTCATGTCAGGGGAGTCAACGCAACTTGAAAACAATGACAGTACACGAAAGTAAATTGGTAGTTTCTTACAATGTACAGTGAAACTTCTGAAGTTGAGCACAATACATTTTGGTGCCTCCAATTTATTCAGAGTATTTTTTTTTTAATTTACATGGAGAATTACAAAAAAGTAATTGATGTATTATAGGTTCAAAACGCATCCTGTGAGTTTCTTCACTGAAATGCTGGCTTGGCGATGTGATTACTCCATTAACCGATGGATAATCAGTGGAGTCTAATTTTTGATTAAACGCAACCATTAAACACAATTTATTACATCCTTAAGATGCCGACTAAGCTAATGCCTCACTTTGTGACAGTGTGATTTTAATGGAGTGTTTTTTTTTTCCCCAGGAGCATAAACTTTATCATCACATTAAAATTTAGACACTCCACAATGTCACATTCATTTTGAAACTTTGCCGTTGATGCTTGATTATCTGTCGAGTATCTTACCTGCCTCCTGCTGAAAGACGTCAAGGGCACTCCGGGATGTCGGGAGTGCTCGATGCGGCCGTGACGTGGGGGCTTAGTCACATTAAAAAGGAAGTTAATGCCAGCAAAGTGTCGGTTGTTGACTTGAAGTACTTCCTTTGTCAGGGCCTTGTAGCCACCTTCTTCCACGGTGAAATTGAAGACGTGAAGTGGGATGCGACGGGGTATGATATCGACCGACACGCTAATGTCGCCTACGTCGGTGACGCCATTGGTGGCCTCCAGGACAAAGGTGTCGTTGACTTTGTTGGGCTCCACCTGCACGTACTGGATGCTTCCGCTGTTAATGTCCTTTTGGGTAAATGTCTTGACAGGAGACTCCTCGCTTCCGACGTAACGTTGGTCTGCTTCCATAAAATGTCGGAGAAAGCCATGATAGGGACCCGCCTTGACAGTGAACGCGATCTCGGATGGCACATTGTCTTCATGTGTGACCTGTGTGTCAGTTGGAAACACTGCCTCATTTTAGACAAGGACAAACACAAAGACCAAGAAAAGACAAAGCAAGTAAAACCCGCCAACATCTCTCACACTGACCTCAAGTTTAGTCTCGTCAATCTTGACTGGTTTTCCTTCCTCAACCAGGAGATTGTTGCGATGCTGCACGATGGGCGGCCTCTGGTGACTTTCCAGGTAAACCTTCACATTGATCCTCGCTGCAAGGTGGATGTCCTTCGCCGTGACCGTCAAATTGAAATGGTCCGCCAGATGTTTGCTGTCATCGTGTTGATAAGAGATGAATCCGTTCTTGAGGTCAGACAGTGTGAATGACTCCACCGCGTTTGTGTCTCGGTAGAGTCTTCCGTACTTCGGCGCGTGATCCAACCTGAAGGTAACTTCTTGGTCATCTCGTATATCCAGATTGGATCTGATGGTAAAATTACTTGCGGAAAATATAACGGACTGTCCCTTCTGCACCAGTAAACCGGTATTATTGACAACTTGCAAGAAAGGATCCTGTGCACTGATGTCTAAAAGACTTGACACAAAGTTTTTGCCATCGGAGACAAAGAGCACAAACCTGCCGACGCTTGCGCCTTTGTGAATGAACAACACTTTCTTTTCTTCTAAATCCTTCTGCCGAAACTCAAAGAGCCGATGGCTTGTGTCATTCGCCAGCACCAAATCTCCCATGGGAATTCCGCGACGGACGTAAATCAACCGGCCATCGTCAAAATCGGAGTCTGGATCGTGGTAACGTAAATCTTCCACAGTGAGCAGCCGCCGTCCCTCCCTCACGACATGGAACACTTTATCAATGACACGTACCGGTTTCTCATCATTGACAAGTTGAATGGATATGTTGAACGTTCCTTCTTTGGACCCGATGTCATCATCCGCGATGAAGGATTTGAAACCTTGGGCGATAGAGACAATGAAAGTGAACTCATCCTGACTTGTTTCCCCATCGTTGTGAACATACATGATCCGGTCTTCTAAGAGATCTTGATTGCTGAAGGTTAAGATGTTGTTATAGCTCGAGTTCGAATTAGACTGAGAAATACGAGCAAGGCTTCCATGTTTGGGACTGCTTAGCACAGTGTAGTACATATCCTGCGTCAGTAATGTTTCTGCGAACAGCTCATTTTTTGTGATCAGCTTACTTTCCCCCTCTCGAAGAACCAATCCGGCATTCCTGATGAAAACGTTGTTCACGTCGGCTTTAATCGAAAACTGAAAATCATAGTTCTGGGACTGAGCGTGTTTGGAAAACAAGTGAAACTTGAATCTGTCATGCGTGTCCTCATGAGGCCGGTCAACTAGTTCATAGTGTACTTTTCGATCCGTGACATCTCTTTGACTAAAGGTTGAGTTCTTTGTCAGGACGGTTTTGTCCAGGAGCAGTTTTCCTTTCTTTGGGGTGGTGAGAACCCTAAAATAAAGATCCTCCTCGGATACAATCACACCCGTGGCTGCAGCAAACAGATAATCCGAGTCAAGCGTGCCTTTCCTAACTTTATCCAAGTCCATCATGACATTTCTCAGCAAATTGTACCGCACCCATTTCACGGTGATTGGGAAAACGACTTCCGCGGTTGCCCTTGCAGCTACGAGGACTTGACATTTAAAGTGATCGGTGGCATTGGATGACTGGATCTCGCGGTAGGTGCTGACGTATCTCAGACGTCCCTTTTCCAGAAGCCTTTGGGAAAACGAGTCCGTGGGCCTCCATTCGCCACTTGAGTGAAGTCTCTGGAGCTCTCCGTACTGCGGGTTTTCAATTACATCATAACGGATGTCAATCATTTGCTTGACAGCGTTGGTTTCGACGGACAATTGCTGTGAACCGATTGCGGCTATTTCTCCTTGATTGACCTCCAGACCTGTGTTGTTAGCGATTTTATACTCAAGGGCTACAGCCATCACCCTTAAAACGACAGTGTTACTAACCTTCTCCCCATCGCTGACTCGAATCACTATCCTCGAGTTTCTCACCCCTGTGTGAACATAATACACTCCCAATTCTTGCAAGTCTGAGTGAGAGAATGAGGTCACCGCTGTTCCCGGGTTGTTCTCGATTTCCAAATAGCCCGCGTCTGCATTCAAATTCCCGAGCACGGTAAAAACAAGATTGCTATGGTTGCTGTCAATGTCTGTGGCCTTCAGAACATCTGCGGTGAGTCGTTTTTTGGAGTTTTCCAACAAGACAAAAAGATTGCCTTCGGGGAGACTCAATTCAGGTGCGTCATTGGTGGGTGTTACTGTAATGTTGAAGCGGTACAATTTGTTCGCTCGGAGATAATCCGGGACTTCTTTCTGACTGCTGGAAGCGATTGAAAACATGAAGAAGTCATCTGGATCCTCCGAGCCTCCATGGATGTACATTACTCGTTCATGCCAAAGGTCCAACATGCTGAAGGTATTCTGAGGTTGGTCCTGATCAACGTCAAGCCTGATGTGACCATGCAGTGGCTGTTCTTGAATTTGGAATACGATTTGAGACTGACGAATACCAAGCATCTTGAAATCCAAGAGTACCTTGATGTGCTTGGCCTCGAGAGACGCCCGGCCGCCTTCTTCAACTATCAGGGGTTTTAGCTGCACGAAATGAGAGCCATACCTTCTGTCCAAACCCCTTGCGAGTGTCGACAGTGACGGTGTTGGGCTCACCAAGAAAAATAAAGATTCCGGAGCACTTGTTGGACTCGCAGTGGTCGACGGCACCGGTTCTTTCTCAGGTTGACAGCCAACTGAGATATCCTTTGTGACGACCGCATTGGCGAGGCCCATCTTCACTCCGTTCACTTCGATATTTTTCATACATCCTTTGAAGGAGCCTCCTCGCATTCGTTTTCCTGCCACAGACATCAACTCAACCTTGCGGACTTCTGATCTGGTGCTGTCATCGATGCCTCCGATAAAAATGGAGCCTTTAAAGTGCAGTCCCTTCGAGCGGGAGCTAACACTGCTTTTCACCATTTCCCCATCAACGGTTAATTCCAGCGTTTTAGAATTGAAGCGCATCTTGAGAGCATGCCATTTCCTGTCATTGATAAACGTAAGTGAACTCAGCTCCGTTTTGGTACCCCCTTTCCCGACGATCGCCACGAGCAAGCCTTCTTGAATTTCCAGTGCCACAAAGTCCCCTTCTTTGGCAGAGCTGTACAGGACTATGCCCTCTCTGGCCGAAGTATGCACAACACACTCGAACACCGCTTCTTGATGGCCATTCCAGGGAGGGAGAGAAATGTACGCCCTGGAGCTAAAAAAGCTAACGGGGTCCTCTTCGGTGGCAAAAAACTGAGGACTACAACCTAGCGACACCTCGTGGACGGTTTTGAATCCAGTGTATGGCCTCAGCGACGACAGCAGGTCATGTTCGTTGAAGACGACATCTTCCATGCAGCCTCGAAAGCCAATTAGGTCTCTGGGGTTGTAAAGTCTGTCAAGGCCAACCGAACCTCCTACATAGATACCATCTGAGATGCTGAGAACATGATGGGGGCCGGGGATCTTTGCACTTGTGTGAGAGTTTTTGTTGACTGTCAGAGTGACATTGCGCTTGAAATGGTTGACCTCCACGGAATGCCAGGCGAGGTCATTGAGCTGCGTGCCTCTCTCGGATCGCAGGAGTTGCTCCCCAGATCCCAAGTCCAGTTTCAGCTGGGGAAAAGACATGCCGGGTTACAAGACAAGTCACACACACTTTTGAGGCCTCGTGTTAAAAGGATGTCGCCTGTTATGCTAACAGTGGGATTTGTCTGAGATTCCAAGCAAGAAGAGCAAGATTATCTCTTTGCCTTGAGCCACACCTTTGAGTGCATCATGTCACCTTCTCAAACTAATTCCGATGACATGCTCGTCAAGGCTTGCTGCTGAGTCCCCTCGCTAATCGAGCGCGGGCTTCCAGGGAGAGACGCGCAAGCCTGACTCACAATTGTTCACTTGTGCCAGTGAACATAACAATAATTTGGTGGCCCGACCCTGTTGAAGGAAGAGGGGATGAGCAGTCCCTCCCCCGAGCTCACTGAAACACAGCCATGAAACACAGTGCCATTCAATCCATGCTGTGACACAATAAAAAGATTGGTCACAATTACTCGAGTTTGCTGGCAATGAATTATTCAGGACTATTCCGTTCCAACATGTATGGTAAATAAGTTTCCTTCAGCATATACTGGACATTCCCTCCGTATGTAGCTTTAGCCTGACAGAACTGCTTACGGTGGGCTTTGGAATAATCAGAAAGGTACAATTTATATTTCACTCCTAAATACTTTCAGGAATAATAACTCGTCATTCAAGCTTGGACCGCCACTGGTGAAGTGCATCTGTGACAGAAATCACCTTCACCATTACAGTTGAGACTTTGTCTTATTGTTTCGATGGAAAGTTTATATCGATATAAAGATTGCAAGAGTCTGATCGTAGAATGGATTGTTTCTCCTAAAAATCCATTTCCAATATTTCCTACGGTGATCTAAATCCTAAGACTTACCATTCTTTACTTGTAAACCCGCATGTTGCACGTTTATAAATAACCGTTAATAACTGCTCTGGACTGAACACGCCTTGTCCTCAATGTGCTCCAGCTGCAACATTAACTTCCTTTTAAAGGGACAATAAACACTTTCTGATTCTAATTCCAACCAAACCGTTAATTGGTGACGTTAACTCCAATCATAATAAACACAATGGAATCAGAGAGCCTTCAGAATGCGCAGCTGTGACATGATGGGACTGGTATGGCGCTGGCACTCAGATCGCGTCACGCAGACTTGTCTGCTTGCGTTACCGGGTAGAGAGACTGACACTGTTAGCGGATCTGGAGTCATTGCTTCGGGTCGGTCAGCGATGGCGTGAGCACGACTTTTTGTGGGCATGCATGCATGTGTGTGCTCATAGCATGTATGCTTGAACACATATGCTCATGCATGGGGGGCCATGGATGTACCCACCTGCAGGCGACCGGCATTGAGCTCTAGCAGAAAGTAGACGCTCTGGCCGGCGGCGAGAAACAGCAGGCCATTGGTACTGGAAGTTCGGAAGCGAATGTGGAGCTTGTTATGGTCGGACGACCCTGTTGCCTTCAGCTGTACAAAGCCATCGCCATAAAAGGACGCTGGAGAAAAAGAGCAGAGAGGCACATTTGTTTAAAAAAAATAATAATACAAACAGACAAAAGATACAGTGTATTTCTCACATGTGACTTTCATCTTTTTTGCAGGTTTTTAGGACAATCAAAGATGCCCGGTGTATGTCAATGGGAAGAAAAAAAATAAAAACAAGGGTGTAAATACAGAAACCCAAGAGCAAGTAAAGTACTGTGGTCTTAATATAGCACGCATGTGACATTTCGACAGAAAAGCACCAGGCTAATTGGCATTCTAGTTGTTCTTACAAGAGTAGCGCGCACACACACACAAACACACATTTCAGATCACATAACATTTTTGTCCAGAGGCTGTTAAGGTAACCTTAACCTAAACTTTCCTTGACCTTAAGCGAGTTTTTGCCTGAAAATATTTCACATTATGCAGAATTGCTTTTCATGCACCAAAGGAAAGCATGCTGACAGTGTAGATCATAGATTTGCTTTACGGCGCATCTCCGTTGGACCAGCTGTAATTTTTGTGCCATAATAATTCACACTCAAGTACCTCAGCAGCACTGGAATGAGGAATTCCCTTTAAAAAGAAACACACTCAAGCCTGTGCCTCGGTGTAAAACTAAGCTTGAAAGAAAATGGCTTTTACAAAGGTAAATTTCAGCATTGGTATTTGTTTTATAATGCCGCACAAGCAGTGTACAAATTGAGGTTTCGGATGAGGCAGGCGAGTTTAGACCCATCCTTCCCTGATGGAGACCTTCAATCTGAAACATGAAAGGTTCCCCCATCCCCACATTTTCTGAGGTCGCGAGTTCCTGAAACGGCATATTACAAGGACAGATCCATCTGTTTTCTTCTGGCTCACTTCCCTGCCATTTCACATCAGCCTGTAATCTGGACTAATGTGCTCCGAAGTTGTCCCAGTCAAGCCTTCATGCCCAGGCACCAGCAGCTCCCACAGACACAGCTGAAACATCCACAAACATGCTTGCTGCTCTCGGCAAATACAGATCCCAGTTCTTCTTCCGCCTGATGCGATGGCAAAAGAGAGATTAGAAATGAATGGCAGTCCATCGTTTCTATCTGTGATAAATGTTTGTAATTCAAATGTAGAGGACGTAGAGCAGGGGTGTCAAACATACGGCCCACAGGCCGGAACCGGCCGCCGAGGTGGTTCGATCGGGCCCGCAGGATAATTTAAAAATGAAAAAAATGCATAAATGACACGGAATTAATATTTTAATAGGGTGCAATTCATGGAGTATCCACTGTTTTCTCTTTCGTATGTAAAGTGTAGGCAGGGATTAAATTTAGATTTTATATGCACATGTGTAAATGGTTTTAAAAAATTCCTTTCTTTATAAATCTCGTTTAATCTTAAAATGCATGACTATATTTTTCAATACCAATTACTTGTCCAGCATTTTTCTTCATCAATGAAGAAAATGAGGCAAATAGAGGAGATGACGAGTTACGAAAGTCAACAATTTTGTTACTCATGCAAACTAGGTTAAATTGTCCAGCCTTGCTGAAACTGTTTGCTCCACTGAGTGCATTCTAGTTTCTTCTGTATTGTTCCTATTTATGGGGACATTTAATTAGCAGTTATTACCTGACTGTCCTAGATTTCAACTCTCAGTCAGTCAGACACAAACGACATGGTGTCCGTTAGGGAATCATTAAATGGAGCCAAATATCAACAGAAATTTTTGGCAGAGACAGACAGAAAGTGCATTTACCGTTCATCCCTCTCGGTGGATAGAAAGAAGGAAAAAAAAAAAAAGCGGTGACATTTTGTCCTTTTACTGTACCGACAAGGATGGACATGCACGCTCAGATGCGTTTTGGTGCAATCGCGATGACGTTTAATATGTCTGACTGAATGTCACGCTGGCTTGAAAAACACAGGTCTCCTCTCAAAATGTACTTGGCTGTGTAAGGGCTGCATTCTTAGAAAGTGGTTAAAAAGACGCCAAGGACGATTGCTTCCGTTGAATGAGGCTGGTGTCGGACGTTTTGCGACAAAAACTCTTCAAACACGGACTTTTGGCAAACGACAGCGAGGAGAGGAGAAGGCGATAGTAAAAAGAAGCATGTTCTGTCAACTCAGCGCACAACAAAGCCAGTCTTTACTGTTGATTAGAGAAGCAAGACCAGAGCTTGTCACTGCTTGTAGGGCCAAAGTTTATCCAACAAATCGGCGATGCAACTTGACTCAAGTGTCTCCTTTTGTTTTGTCAAAGCCGTACATGGGCAACAGGCTTCTTACAGAACACTCTCGTAATCTGTACGGGCACAAAGGGAAGCAAAGGGATGCCAGTCACAGAAAGGAAAATTTGGAGATGTAACAAAACAAAAGGAGGCTGATATTTTTAGACAATGTGTGATGTCAGCATATCACGCCAGCCGTCAGCACACTGTACTTGTCCTCGTTTTGCGCCAGCACCAAAGTATTAAATGTGCGTGTACGTGTTTTGCTTTTTAATATGGCCTTTTTGTCATATTTTTTCACAGAGAAAAGGACGCTGGTAAATGTACGTTTACACTGTGGTCCCGGCAGCACATGATTTGAGATGAGAGTGATTTGAGTTAGGAGCTCGCCACATCACATTTCAAGGTTATAAACAGCACGATGAACTACAATCCGTACACACCCTTTTCACTTGATTCTTTGATAGTTGTAGTAGTGATAGAAGAGTACCAACACCAGGTGTTGGTATCAGGTCGATACCGGCCCTATTTAAGATATCGGGTACTCGAAAAGCTGCCAACAGCAGCCACCGATTCTTTAGGCTAGCTAGCTAGCTAGCTAAATAAGTAAATAGATAGATAGATAGATAGATAGATAGATAGATAGATAGATAGATAGATAGATAGATAGATAGATAGATAGATAGATAGATAGATAGATAGATAGATAGATAGATAGATAGATAGATAGATAGAGTTGAGTAAGTACTGCTCGGTAGTAGTTGGCACTATACTGCGGCAGTTTGACGTATCAGCAAATAATCATCTGCATCATGAAGAAAGTTACGATTTTTTTTTGTTGTCGTTGTGTAAAATGAAAATTTTGACATCTAAAGTACTACAGGTGTCGGAACTTGATATCGGTGAATACTCAAAGAGTGAATACTCATGCTGGTATTAGTCTGAAAAAAAGTCCTAATTTATACCCCGGAAGTGTTTTTCAGTCACATATTTAGGTAGTTAGGACTTATCTACTCCATTAGAGCAGGTAAGTGATGACGGCATATTCCGGCTGCCATGGTAAAGCAACCCCGTCATGAAGAGAGAATTTGGAAACGTATTTTTGAACAAATTGTAGGCTGACCATAGTCACATAACAAATTGCGTCCATTACTGTTGCTATTTTCAATGGAGTGAGTGAGTCACAGTGAAATTATTCCTGATTATTCCCACTGGCACAGTTGGGATGAGTGAAGCCCACTGAATTTCTATGACACATGCCAAGGATGAAATCAAGCAGACGAGGCTAATGAATACACATACGAGTGTCAACAATGTATATAGCCATAAAAATAACACACATGCACAGCCTTGTCCCTTAGGAAAGGATGCCGGAGACACTTGGGTGCGGTATTGTCGTCATCATGTGCAATGACTATGCTTTGCTGCACTGCTATACTCTACATGTGTAAAAGTTTCATACCAATCATTGACGCATGTTATGCTGTTTGTAAAAAATAGAAACATACAACACAAAAAAGATTCGCTAAACCTGCACAATAGAGTAGATTGACATCAAATATAAGAGCTGTATTAAAAATTCCTTTTAACAGTAAGGGAACAAGATACGAAGACCAAAAAGACAAGCTTCAAGAAACTAGAAGCATACATTTTATACTCATCATGTCACCAACAAAATAAAGTGTCACATACTGATATTGTTGTTTCCTAATTAAATGATTTTAGGCAAGAGGTGTGTTAACCCCATACTGGTCGCCACTCAATCGAAAAGCACATACAGCAATGTTAGCTAAATCACAGAATTGACAAAGTAATTTTGAACATTTTTGGAAAACGAGAAAAAAAACAAGTAGTTCAACATAAAAGAGTCTGGTTGCTTCGATTCAAAATTTGGGGATTACTATGACCTATATGGCTGAAAATCTACACAGGCATAAAGAAAAAACAAATTTTCTTACAAGCACATTGTTCTTTTTTTATTGACATTGTGACAGTGAGTTAGCAATAATTTGGTCAATTATTTTATTATACTCATGAAAAAAAACACGAAGCGCTGCTTGCTTGGATTCAACCTTTGTGCATTACCATGACCTTGGTGACAGAGAATTTAAGATCACACAACAGACAGACACAAAGAAAATTTAAAAAAAAAAAAAAACAATACTTAGCAAGCAAATTAGATTTTTTTTTTTTTTTTAACTGATACTGATACGGACAACCATTCACCCTCACATTAACGCCGACGGACAATTTACAGTGTTCATTTAACCAAACGTATGTTTTTGGAATTTGAGATGAAGCAAGTGCATTCATTCAAGCAAGTGGAGAACACAGCGTTGAGATTCAGACACCGAATCTTAGTTTTGTTAGGCATTTTGTGTGTATTTGATATACATATTTTAAACAAATATTAACCATTATTATTTTTTGATGCAGCTTTTGCATTACATGGCATAATTGTGCAGGTGTCCCAAATTAAGTGGTCAGTGAGCGGTCAATATAACAAATCACGGCATTGCACTATATTAGTAACTTAATTCTCATGTACTTTGTTGTAATCATTTTCAGCATTACTATTCGCACACAGCTCGCAAAAGCTAAGACTACTTGTGACCTGTTTAGGTAAATTTGTTGGTAGCGATCGTCTTCAACCAATGAATGAATGCAAAAGTTTGACCAAAAAGAGGACATTGCACGGTGAACATACAGCAAATAATATCCTGGTTTGTGTCGCGTGTAAAAGAGTTTGAGGGCAGCACGGTTACCTCCCGACGCTAGCTCGACCAGGAGCGACCACCAAAACAGCCCGCAGATCCACAGCAGCAACTTCTTCGGGGCTCTTTTCCCAAAGGAGAACATCTTCCCTCGCTAAGTCGACATTTCACATGCTCGCACACGGCGTTTGTCTTTTTGTCTTCTTTGGCTTCTGATCCGAGAGAGTTCGAGTGGGTTCCGTGACAGAAAACGGCAGTAAAGAGAGGACCACCGGGGAGGCACAGGGGGATCGAAAGACTCCGCCTCGTGAGCGCGCCAGCGCTCTCGGGAACGCGCGTTCCAAAATAACAGCGTGGAATGGGGCGGGGGGGGGGGGGATTTT